TTCCCTCTGTTCATTTTTTGTTACATAGTAAGCAGCAAAGAAGAAGGGAAAGGAAACACAAGTTTTGATGTGGCTTACTTTATTTAGACATTTTACGCAATTGCAGAGATAAACTTGTTTTTTGGTTGAGGGTTAGGATTAAGGAAGCCAGTAATAACAGTAACAAACATTAAATTGAATCTTTGACCAAGTTAGTTGCGCTTAGATCCCATTAATTCTGATTTAAATCAATCCAATTTAAATTAGTTGTGACTCACTTTTCATGCATATTCCAATTTAATTTATTTTAAAAAACAGTCATGACTAATTCAAATTCCACTGCTTTTAATGGGAGCTAAATGTGACCTTCTGGTCAGAATATAGCCCATTGCTGCTGCTACTTTCCCTTTTTTCTAAGTTAAATTTAGAAAATGCTTGAATTGTTACTCTAGGCCTACCCAAAACAATGTGTTGGGTTTTTAATCTTACTACATCTGTCACAACATCTTTTCCTGTTGTATCAACTATTGTCTTTGATGGAGAGAAGTTAATGTTTAGATGTAAACACTGGGTAAAATAGTTTCATAAGCTGTGAGACGAGCAGATCTTAATACAAGTTGCTGATATTTTTTGGCTTTGTTGACCCATATAATGAGGATTAATGATGGAAAGCAGTTATGTTCATATTCTGCTTCCAGGTTATGGAAATTGAACATTAATTGGTGTGGTTGAGGTATCTTTGTCCTCTGACTATGGAGGACAAATCAGATTCACTAAACTCTGATTGAATCTTAAATTCATCTGGTTTCTTGGGCTTTGGCAGGACTGGAAACATTCCTATCACTAAGACTTAACCACTCTTCCCTCAAGTATTTTCTGTGCTATTTTAGCTAAAGAATGCAGAACTGGTTTTCTTCTCAACCACATTATTCATTTGATGGAGACTGTTGCCTGCAAAAACTTATGCCATAATAAATTTGTTTCTAGGATACTGCAGGACTTTTGTTGTTACTGCTCATTTTTGGCCTAGGAGATTACATCCCTTTGTCTCCCAATTTCTGTCATATCTTTTTTCTTGAAATTGATTTGATGGCATTTGCTTTTGTGGTTAGTTTATCAACTCAAAGAGGAAGATTTAGTTAAGGATCATACCACGGACTGAGATAGTGCTGTCACTCATTGTAAAAATCAGTATTCATTAAAAAAGGCAAAAAACTGAGTAGATTTTCACTAGCCTTGAATAACCCTGCTGAGTACTTCCCCAACAGCAAACATCAATGGAAACATCTGTGGTATTGTTAAAACCAGAGTGTTCAAAGCACATCTCATTTTTTAAAAGCTTTCCCATCTCAATAGTGTGATTCAGTAACCAGACCTCCAATTTTCAAGTGACTCTTTCAAGCCTGCTCTTTTAAATACCGTAAGTTCCAGTAAATTTCACATGTTTAGAACTTTGGAATGAAAGTTACTTTCTTCAAGCATGGAGGCGCTACATTTGAAGCAAATATTCAGTAGTAAATGTGATTACAACTACATCATAAGAATTTTCAGCCTTTTTTACCTTCATAAAATTATGAACGCTTAACTATGAAACTTAAAATTATGATTCAATTGATTTCATGGTATCAGTGTTATCCTATTTTTCACTTTTTCATGGACTATTATTTTTAGTGCATGCTCTCCTTTGATTAGGTGGTTCCCTGTGTCCTGTCATATGGAATCCATTACAAACTGCCAAATTGCAGGTCTAAATTCTGCTGCCCAGAAAGCATCTCCAAATGCTACTGGTGATTTAAAATTCTGTTTAGTTTAAGAGCACATGATTGACTTACGTGGGCCATTACTTGCTCAAATGGTATAGCAAATCACAATAAGACATGGGTGAACAGACTAAAAAAGACATCAATGTTCAAAGTGAATGTGGAAGACATCATGATTGAAAGTGTCTCAGATTTTATGGAAGTATAGGGAAGTCTGTGATAGGGTGGAGGGGAAGACAGTACTATGTTGCATTCTAGATATTATGGGCTGTGCTATTCTCTAATGTCAAGAAAAGAGACTTGTTCCTTCTGGGTTCTTTGCATAGGCTATTAGTTGATAAATATTATCTCGTGTAGATTAGTTATTCTGACAAATATTTCCTTAATGGCTATTATTAATTTGTCAACATAGGCTTAAGAACACATTGTGGAAGGAGCTGAACCAATACCTACTTACAGGATAGGGGCTTAAAAGAAATAATTTGTGCAGTTCTGACTGAATTGAGAGCCTTCCATACTCACCTTTGTTGAATGACCATGATTTTATCCTTATAGGCTGTTCACACTGTTTATAATTATTTTTTCTTAGTATTAAAAGTATGGTTCTCTCATGTGTTGTAGGAAGTACTCAATTTATGCTACATAATATAAAATACTTTATTATTCTGCATTACGGATGGAGTGGGGGATTATCTGACTGTGTCCTCAGTCTATCTAATCTGTGATTTTGCATGAAATATATGCAGACTTCTTAAGCTCCAAGTCAGTTAGTTTTGGCAATATAACAGTTGTTTCTTTTAAAAGCAGACTCCCCCTTTAGAAGCACTCTTCATGAACTAACCTAATCCTGAAGCTTCAAAAATAGTTGTGCTACTGCAGGACAGAAAATATGTTTAATTTATAAAGTGGGAATAATGCCTGACTTCAGAAGTTATAAAGATAAAATCTCCTGGTAGAGTAACGATCTCCCCTCCAAGTTTTCGGTAGGTAGATAGGAATTGACTTTGACTTACCAAATGATCGTTGTCATCTATGCTATTTCACACATTTCACTTTCCTTCTTTTGTAATTCAGACTAATTATAACGTATCTGGGATTCTTTGAACTGGGATTCTTTGAAGACGTACAGAAGGGATAGTATTTTTTGGCTAGAATGTTGGACTAGGACTAGGGAAATTCAATTTCAGACTTAGCCCTGATATTCAGTGGGTGATTTTGAGCCAATTGCTTTCACTTATCCTTACCTCACAGGGAGATCATGAGGATAAAATGAACTCCTTGAAAGATGGGCAGTATATAAATCTCATAATACAGAAATATGAAGATGTATCTAGACTTGAAAGGCTAAGAGCATGCTTTTCCAAAAGTCCCTTTGAAAGCCCTTGTCTCAGACAGTAGGTTAATGAACTATTTGTGAGCCATATGGTTCCATAATGAGAGAATTTGTCATTTACCATCATTCTTTTGGTAATGGTGTGTTTTGGGGTCACATAAACAGATATTTCTAAATTATGCTGTTAAAACCTACTACAGTTAGGAATGAAATGAGGCTGTAAGTTAAAAGCTTTTGTTTGAAAGTGGCAGCATTTGAGTGCTTCAGATGGAGAAATGTATCCTGGCTATGGGGTTGTTTCTTTTTTAATCCCTATTTATGCACTGAAGAGTTAAGTGAATCTTTTTTCTACCAGTCAGCATGTTTGATATTGATATTGCCAGTAAGGTATACTTAACCTTGAGAGTGTACCCTATCTTCAAAATAATTTTAAATTTTAGGCTGCATTCCCATCTCTAATGGAATGAAGTCTGCATTGTTTGTTTGTTTGTTTTTTAATATCCACAGTACAGTATTTCTGCTTATGGTGAAACTTGTCCCATCCTCACAGAGAGCACAGGCTAGTTTTCTGGGCTCACTTTCAACCTAAACTCACTTTCAATAACCTCATGGTTATTCTCCTGAAGGAAAAGTCTGAATTGTTAATTGCTAAAGAGTGAAGAATATGGCACTATGAATTGCTTCTGGACTCATACAACATTTTGCAGTCTTTCCTTTTATGCAGAGTGAGCTTGAGTTTGAAGCAGGGATCTCTAGCTGAAGCTGCAGCCCATAATGTTACAGGAGGCCTTTTTCTTTGGAGAATAAGTTTTTCCCATCAAAATGATTTTTGTTTTGAAATTTGTAGATCTTAGACTGCTCACCTGGGATGGGAAACGGATCCCTGTTGACTCTGTAGATTTCTTCTGGGGTAAGGATTGGCCTTCAACCATGTCCCTAGAGGATTCCACAGTGGTGTCTTTCCTGTTCATCAGTATGACTCCAACTCCTGATTGGAAAGGCAAGCAGTACATAGTAGAGCCCTCCCCCATTATTTCTAGTCACACACTGGAGACAACAGCAAACCTGTGTGTGTGTACACGGGAATGTGTGAAGCCACTAGCTGTGCCTCTCCTTGTGTACCTCTTACTATGCCTGACTTGGCTGCAGCTGGGAGGAGCTGTTCCTCCCAGCTGCACAAAATTAGCTTGCTGTTCCCATTGGGACCCAGTCATAAGGACTGCCGAACTGTTCTCAGTTTGTACTTTCCTTATGCAAACTGACTGTCTTAACATTCTGGTGTGGGCTAGTCTGTGACAGGCCATCCAGTTGTCCCTTGTGCAAAAAGATTAGGAATATCCTGCTATTATCTAGGCCACCTTCCTCAGCCTGGTGTCTTCCAGGTACATTGGACTATCATCCCCAGCCATCATTAGCCAGTTTAAATTTTGCAAGAAAAAGCTTACTGAATTTTTAGAGTTGCCTAGCAAAGAATAGCTTTTAGAGTCTGCTGGTGGTATAATCTTGCCTGCCTGCTTACTTCCTACTTAAATTACTTACAAATGTAATAAACAGATATTACAAAACAATCACAATTTTCAGTTATTTCTCCTCAGAAAGGAGAACAATCATTAACATATAATGCTTCTCACTTTCTTAAGTGTCAGTAAAGAACAACAGATATGCCTGTTAGCATGCATTAGGAACACGCTTATTAGAAAGTTTGCTCCGTAGTGGCAAAGGATGGATGTATGATCATATGAGGTAAAAGATGGCAACTGCAGAAGAAGCATCAACTGACTGTTACTTGAGTTAGAGGAAAACATTTTGTTTTGTTCTTTGATTTGTGAAATGTTACATTACTCTGGCATGCTGCTTTCATCTTAAAATGTCTATGAAATGTTATCATTTTTTATGTTCTGGGTTTTCTTCCCCTTTTATTTTTACAGCCATCATGTATGTAATGGGAGCTCTTGGTCCTGCTGCAGGATATTTATTAGGAGGAGTTCTTATTGGGTTTTATGTGAATCCTCGAAGTACTGTTTATATTGACCAGAGTGACCCACGATTCATTGGTAACTGGTAAGTTGCCACTGTGTGTGTTGCACAAGAATAACTATTACATTGATTAGTGATGAAATAATGAAATGTTTCTGAAGCTGGTTAACATTTGAGTAATCACATTCGACATGACCCACTGTGAATGAAAGAACCCATAGTTAGTTGGCACTGCACAGAGCCAGCTTGCTGCCTTGTGTCCACTTGCCACTTTCACTTCATCTTCACTGTTGTAAAGAATCTGTGAGCGCCCTATTTCTGGGTGGTTTATTGTAAAGTGGAGTATGGAGTGTGCTCTGGAGTGTTTAGAGGAAAATCCAACCTGGGTTGTGTTCCTCTTCACAACCCAGGGTAATAAGTTCATATAGCACCACAACTGATCCAGCAACTGGATGTTTCTAGGCTGCTTACAACGAGCTGCTTACAAACATGATGTGAATGAGCATTGTGCAGGCAGAAGACAGTGTACTTGCTTACTCCTGATTAGCTATCAGTTAAACAACCTGATGCAGGGATGCAGGTGGTGCAGTGGTTTAAACTGCTGTGCTGGTTGACTGAAAGGTTGCCGGTTTGAATCTGCACAACGGGGTGAGTTCCCGTTGCTCCATCCCAGCTCCTGCCAACCTTGCAGTTCGAAAGCATGCACATGCAAGTAGATAAAAAGGTACCACTTTGGTGGGAAGGTAACCGCATTCAGTGCACCTCGGTGTTTAGTCATGCTGGCCACATGACCACTGTCTGTGGACGATCGCTGGCTCCCTCGGCTAGGAAACAGAGATGAGCACCGCCCCCTAGAGTCAGGCATGACTGGACTTTAATGTCAAGGGGAAACCTTTACCTTTAAACAACCTAAAGGTTATTATTATGTGCAAATTGGACATTCTCAGAAGTGCTGAATTTAGATGTCATGCATGATATATCCAAACATTGTTTAAATGGCTGGTAATTCCATGAACACTACTTTTTCACTCATCTTTTCTGTGTTTTCTAGTTGTATTTGCAGAAATTTGAAAAACAACCCAAAACTGACAAGTTAAATAGTAAGAGGAGTAATTAGTATTAGGCATGGTAGATTACTTCTATTTCTGGTATTTTTTACTTTTTGTGTCAATGTTCTGCTATATTTTTATACATATGGAGGTTGTCTTGTCTATGTGTGTGCATATGTCCTGGCACAATGCTGATAGTCCCATATGTAATAATCCAAAGGATATTGTCATGGGAGGTCTTATTAAAACAAGAAGTTACAGATTTGATGAAGATGGGGCTTTTTGTGGTTAACCATGGTTTGTTAATGCAATGGGTTCACACCCTGCAACAAGCTACATATCAACAATGATAATCTGTGAACAGATGTTAGTTATGACCACTAAATGAGACCTTTTAGCTGGGCCCAATCAATGGCTGCTCAAACTACATGTAAAATGAAAGTTAAATGTTAAATATACATTAAAGTAGCTGGCAGCTGTATATACCTCATCCCCTTTATATAGTGATCCAGTCCAAACAAGGATGCTTGCATGATGCAGGCAGCTAGTGGGGCTTTTACCCTTTGTGCTCTACTGTGGTGATGATCTGGATTGGTTTCCATTGCTCAGAAATTGCATGCAAATTTGTAGGTGTAGGAGCTTTGGTGAGAGTACCACAGAGGAGAAGGGCTTAAATCCCCATACTCTCTAAACTCGGATCGCAATCAAAATTGGGTTCCTCTCACTTTTTAAAAACTGTTTATTATGGTCAATGAACATCTCATTCATAATAGACGATTTATAAGTGACACCATAGATTAAAGTATTCAATTATTAATTAGATAAAATAATAATACACAAATGATGTCAAAATTGTTCCTTTTGCTTAATTTGAATACTGAAAAAAGAAACATAGTTACTTGCTATTTCTTTCAAGTAATCTTTGACATAGAGAATGGTCATCACAATTTACTTAATAAATAAAATCACCATCATGCTTCATTTGTGAGGTTCCTAGAGGCATCTAGCTAACTTGTATTGAGCCAGAGTGCTAATCTACATTAGGCCAGGGGTGGATAATGCATCAGATATGGCTACATGTAGTTCTGCTGCCCCTTCTGTTGTCTAGAATCAGGAGGAAAACATTTTAAAGAAAAAAAGTATACATAGTGCTATCAAGTACCCAAAGGTCAAAAGCAGCTTGTTGGCAATTTAATAATTTCATGTATCCTCAGACCATTCTCCAAACTTGACTGAGTCAGAAAGCATTTCTTGTTTTAGCAGAAAGCAGGTTGGCAACAGCTGCAGCTAAAACAAAGAAGCAGGAATAATTATACAAGACTCACAAGGAAGTGAGATACCAATTTTATCATGGCAATAATAATGTGAAGCATGGCCTTCAGTTTTTTGAAACATTCATTGCCAAACATCCGTCAGATAGAAATAACTGGGTACTGTGCTATAATTAGGCACATTTACAAGGCACTGAGTAGCCAGTAAGCCTATAGCTTCTTATTTCTTCCAGATGCTCTTTAATTGGTGTTCTGCAGATGGTATTCTAAGGTTTTAATGGCTAAATCAGCCAAGTTGAATTTGGCAGCAGATGGTGGCCTGGGATATCTTCATCTCTACATACCTGTTTGCTGAAATCTATTGTAGGTGGACTATAGTAATCCATACTAATTCAACTTTTGAAACAGCACAAAGCAGAATACCAGGGTTGACTAATCCAGGGTCCAAGCTCAACATCTAATCCCTCCAATGTTTTTTTCTGCAGAACTTTTTGTCCAAAATGGCTGGCTGGTAAATTTTCATCAGTCCCTGAGTTATGAACTTCCAAGTTACAAACAGCCATACTTACAAATGAACTGTCAAAGCCTATTAATTTAGGAAAATTACTGCAGGAAATCATCACCATAGAGATACGATGGGGAAGGGAAGAGGAGAGAAGGGGAGAGAAGGAAGGCTTCCAAAGTATCACCATAAAGGCAAAGCAAAAGGGTAGAGAGGTAGGCCTCAAAAGCAAGCCTTCCTGTCCTACCCACCCATCTTCTTTTGCATTTCCTTGCTGCAAAGAGGATGGCTTGGAGAATTTCAGTTGGTGGTAGTGGGGAGCTAGAGATATTTATGGTTTTTCCACTTTCTCTCCTAACTTCCACACTTACATACAAATTAGACTAAAAGATGAATTTCTGTTTTCTCAGGAATAGAACTTGTTTGTAACCTGGGGATTGCCTGTATTAGTTAGACAGGTAAAAGGAAAAGAATATGTAAGTTGTAAGTATAACAGACCCTACTAGAATAGGAATAAAGAAGTGTGAAGATAGTCATACTAGGAGCCACGGAATACTTTGGTTGGCTTCAATACCTATGTTATCTAGTTTTGGAATAGAATACTATTCAGGCCAAAGTATGCGAAGTTAAATGGGTAGTTTGCCAACGTGATCATCTTTTTCTGTTAAAATTGCTGTTTCTGGGGGCGGGGGGTAGGGGATTAGGACCTGATTCAATAACTCTCTTCTGGTTTGTTATTGGAATACAAAACATTCTGTGGATCTGTTAAAAGTGTCATCACTCCGCTCCCACTTTCTAAATTGCTGATGATAATAGACTTAACTGTGCAGTCAGAATCTATTCTGCTGTCTGCATGGGCATCCTGTGTGCCTGTGCATGCTGTGAATGCCAGTTGTCTCCTCAATATCCTGGGTCTTCCTTTTTGTAGTCCTAATTAAACTTTGTTCTCAATCATGTTTGCCTTTCTTAGAACGTAGTTGTAACATTTTTGTCCATTTTTCCTTTCACTCACATATAAGGACAATTTTAATGAGACATATTAGTAGCACAATTATGAATTTTCTGTCTCCTGTGATGCAGGCATTTTCTATACATTTACAGACTATGATACTCAGTATTATTTGTTCCAGTGCAGTTTTCATTATACATACAGCACTAACTGCAGTTGTGATTTCTTATCTTTTGACTAGGTGGATTGGATTCCTTCTTTGCGCCACTGCAATGCTTCTTGTTATACTCCCAATGTTTACTTTCCCCAAAAAGCTTCCACCTCGACAAAAGAAGAAAAAGAAGAGAAAGAAAATGCCCTGTGATGTTCCAACTGATGATGATATTGTGAAAGAGAAAGCAAACAGTAAAAGCCAGGTAGACCAGGAGGTTCCTGCTTCAATGGGATTTGGACAGAATGTTCGAGGTAAACTAACTTTTAAAAAGTACAAGAACAAATTGAGGTGAAGTTGAAGATCATATAGTTCCTATTGACAATAATGAATGCTAATAGGACTTTGTATTTCTTTCTTCAGCAGCAATAATGATGCCATGTGGGACTGGGAAACTTCCCTGTGTTTCGGGACATATGTGATATGACTAGGTTCACACAACATGACTGCCTAAATTTCAGGTTGAATATGGATTGCTGTTGAACCATGGATTATTGTTGAATTGTGGGTTCTTAACATGGTCAGCCATGTTAACAAACTATGGTTGACCAATCATCCACAATGAGATCCCATGGTTTTTTATTGGGTCATGAATTGTGGACTATGCCCATGTCTTGTTAGCACAACTGGGTTATACAGCAACCCACAGTTCAATGACTCACAGTTCAATGTGAACCCACACCTAGCTTTGAGAGTGGGTTCTTATGTTGTGTGAATCAAGCCAGTATCTCAGGACCATTGTATCTGCACAATCATATAAATGTGCCACACAGAGACACCTTGAGCATGTTCGCAATTCCATTCTTAGCCTCATCTCATTAATGAAGACAAGTGAAAGAGTAGGGGCTTTATTTTTCTTCTCAGCACACTTAAACAGGGCTGAAAATCAGACCATCTTCACTGCACAGCTGGTACATGCCACTCAGTTCAGGAGTAGAAAGGAGAATTTTTTTATCTGCATCATGGCATATTGGATGAAAAGGTTTAACCCTCCACACTTGCTGTGCTGCAATTGGAATTCAAATTGTGCCTTGGGAAAGGGTGCAACTAGGAGAAGGAGAGAGGGCTGGAGTGGATCCTGAGCCTAGGTGGGCACTTTTCCTAGTCTAAATATTGGTTGTGCTCCTGCAGCTTCAGAAAAAATGGCTTATCAAACTCTGGACAAGCAAGCACATGCTCTGCCCTAACTTCTTTCTTCCCTTGTGTTGCATGCACAGATTCTGTCTTACATGAATCTAGAATTCTGTAATTTGACCATCACAAAGAGCTATAGCTTAATGGAAGCCAAAGTCTGCAAACTGCAGGAGATGGGACTGTAGTGTTCATCCATGGTTTCATACACTGTGGTTATGAAGCTGTGAATGAATGTATACATGCAACCAGTTATTTCTTTAATGCCATTTGATAGACTTGAAACTGCTTCTGCATGTTTCCAGTCATCATCACCATTGCATAGCACCTATAGTCATGTTTTAGTTCTCTTTGTATAGATGGTCTGCATGCCAACTACCCACCTAAAGAGAGAATGAGAGAGAGAAAGAGAATCAAATTTGTCTAGATCGAGAAAGGAAGAAGTCAGTCAGATGAAGTCAGATGAAATTATGTCTATTGTCCAGACACTGAGTATTTTGAACTTGCAACATTTCTTCCAGCTGGAAATTGCAGAGCAAGAATAGTTCATCTAAACATGATGAAGCCTTCACATCACGAGAAAGTTTAGTTTAATAGCCTATAGGCTATAGCAGGGGTTCCCATAGGTACATTTGAGAAACTTCTGTGGGTATCTCCACAAAATGCCCAGTCAGTGGATCGCTGCTTTACTGTCACATCAGTGAATGCTACCTGTCATGTCTGTGTATCTTAAGCTGTGTCTTATTCAGCAATGACCTTTCTTTTGTATCTTTTTGGACCATGCAGTATCTCTTTAATAATTCAGCTAATTGCTGGCACTGTAATACAGCTAATGCGCCTTTTAAACATATTTTGGCAATGTCCAATAGTTCCTTCTTTTTGAGAGGATGCTATTGCACAGATCATTTCTTTGCTGGCAAAGTCTTTAAAACACTGATATGCACACTCTTTCAAATTATTTACCTGTTTCATGGAAATTAATAAATGACAGGAGGAAATAGATTCTCTGTGGTGTTTTGACAGCTAACAGACTAATATTAAAAAAATTGGAAGGATAAGCTGTAATGTCATATAAAGCACTGGACTGAGGACCTTAGAAAGTTTTCAGTATATGAAAAAGTGACATAAAAACGCCAACATGAAATGTTTACGTATTTGTGGATCTGTTTTACTTGTGTTGAAGCCTATGTAGTATGCATTTCATACAAATCTATGCATGTATATTTTAGAAATGGGAAAAGTAGTTTTTGGGTTCTTGTGAGCACCATGCCTGAGCTCCCTTAACCCCCTCATCCAAAGTTGCAATTGTATGAATGATAACCTGGGAATAAACTCACCAAGTGCAAGGGATGATAAAATTACTACAATTACATGGAATAAGTCTGGATTTATAAGCCAACAACAACGATTAGCAACTTTTTATGATTGTGTTTAGTGTTGTCTAGATACATTATGTTGCTATACAGTAACCTAATCAAAATGGTTTATACTTTAAGGGTACAGTCCTATCAATTTTGCTGTCTGTGTGAGTAAGCCTCCAACTTTGGAGGCTTATGAGCATCCAGCACAGATCAGGAGGAATGGTGGTGGTAATACCCACCTCTTTGCACCTCCCTCTGGACAGTTCAGCAGCAGCCATCTGACTCACGTACTGTCAAGTGGGAGGGAAGAAGGTTGGAGCTGCCCAGTTTGATTTCTCAACCTTGGAGAAGCAGCTGGTGTGAGTCTTTCTGTGTTTGCTATGAGAGTTGAAGAGGAGGATAGGAGCGCAGAACCTCCATTCTGTGGTTGGTAGTCCGTTTCTAGCCTTGTTTCAACAGTATTCTATGTTCCCCTAGACACCATCTCAAGAATGATTCTTTTATTCATTAATATTTAGTATTTTGTATCATTGGTGCATTTGAGTGAACCATCTAGTGTTTTTGAGGTGCTTAACAGCTTAAATTCCTTGTACAACAGAAACTATTAAAATATATTTTTAAAAGTTTGTCTGATAAAATAAAGTCAGCACCAGTTCAGCATCCTTCCAGAATTCCAAAGTGCTTGCTGCTGTTTGATCCCATATGAATTAACACAGAAGGAAATCCCATGTATTCAGTAAAGCTTACTCCTTGGTAAGCGTTCTTAAGATTACAGTCCTAAACAGGAAGGTTCTTGCAAATCTTCTGAATGACAGAAAGGAATCTCCAGGCCAGACTTCCTATGTAGAAAACTTGAAACTTGGGTAGCCACAACATACATAAGCCTGTGATCCTACCATCTCTGACTGTTTTGAAACAATAAAAAAGACAGAGAACAGAATGTAAAGCACTACAGAAGGTGGTGTTCTGTTTTAATTGGAAGCCCACAGTAGGCAGCCATACCTAACTTCAGCAATGTGAGATGTAAAGGTAAAAGGTAAAGGTTTCCCCTTGACAGTAAGTCCAGTCATGCCTGATTCTAGGGGGTGGTGCTCAGCTCCATTTCCTAGCCGAGGGAGCCAGAGATTGTCCACAGACAGTTTCCGTGGTCATGTGGCCGGCATGACTAAACACCGAAGTGCACGGAACGCTGTTACCTGCCCACCGAAGTGGTACCTTTTTATCTACTCGCATTTGCATGCTTTCGAACTGCAAGGTCGGCAGGAGCTGGGTTGGAGCAACGGGAACTCACCCCATTGTGCAGATTCGAACCGGCGACCTTTCAATCAACCACCCCAGCAGCACAGCGGTTTAAACCACTGCGCCACCTGCAGTCCCAATGTGAGATGAGAATGAGCTTTTATTCATGCATGTACTCTTTATTCCTTCCAGGCAAAACTACAAAGTGTCTAATGAACCATGATTTCCTGTCTTGTCCAAAAATGGGAAGCTGTATTTACCAGAAAAAGGCAGGATCTTAGAACAATTGTAAACTATGGTTTAAGATCCTGGATTGTTCTAAAGCAACTAAGCATTGTTTTTATTTTGGACAAATTGAGAAATTTTGTTTCATTAAAAACTTTCTGGTTTAACCGCAGCTTGCATGGATGGAGTACCAGTGAGGTTTTGTACATGGCCAAAATATTTACTGATAAGCTTGTTAAGCCAAGATACATCCCAGCCCACTTCAGATTATCATATCTGCTTTATACTTGGTTTCCAAGTGGTTGTACTATGACATTAACTATATATGATTCATTTTTATAACTGCAGTACCCTTTGGTGAAATAGTTTTAGCATTGTTATAAAAATATATCCTCATTTCTCAGCTGTGTTGGTGCAGTATCATTTTCATGTCTAAAATGTCACCTCCTTTTTCTTTGTTTTGACACTGCAGTATTATAACAGCTTAGTTAGTAACTCAGCAGCTTTAACTATAATAAAATAATGTTCTACCAGACTTTTAAATTTTGGCTTTTCCTATTTTACATCAAAATTTTGGAATAGTTTTCAAACCATTGGTGTGATATGACAACTCACCCACGGGTTAAGCCATGCCATTTTAATGTACAGCTTTGGGTTGTTGTGGCATGTGACATTAGTGCGAATGGGCTGTGTGAGAGTTAAAGAAGCCTTACATAATCCACAGTTTGTTTTAAAGATACAGGAGGGTTGTAACACAACTATCTCCAACTGAGGGTTGTATATGCAACCTAGTACCTGCAGTTACTGCAGCTCATCCAGAGTTAAATAACCCACAATGAGCATAGTGTATTTTCTGAACCCAATCATTGTCCGGTTTCGTACAACACAACTATCTATATTCAACTTGAGAATGGCTCAAACTGTGGATTGTCAAAACATGTATAGTCACTGAACCGTGAGTTGTGGGAACCCGAATGTACTTTGTTAACCATGAACAACTCATGACCATTATAATCCTTCCTGGCACAAAACAGCTTGAAGGAGTTGTATTTTGTTGAATTTTTGGCTAACTGACAGTTATTCCATAACTATAAGTTGAGGTCTAAGGATATGGCTTTACTGTTGCTAAACAGAAAGCGTTTAATATTTTGTTATTCTTGATGGGTGATTTGCTTTTTAAAAATTCTGTTTTCACATGTAATAGAAACAATGACATTTATGTTATTATTTTTTGTTATGCACAAGGCAGTTTGGTATGTTTACCATGAGCTGTGCATTTATTCTCTTGCTTTAAGGTGAAATGTACTCATAGCCACAGGCTTATGTCATTTTTATACATCTCTTTTATAGATATGGCAAAAAGTCACCCCTATAATATTCCTGAGGCCATTTCTCATCCCCATGCCAACACTGTCCCAATTTCCAGTCTCACTGATGCACAGGGCAGAGTTACAGCATGGGCACCTTCCACAGTGCCAGCAGCAGGAAGGAGCCGCACTGTGGTGATTCCCGTACCACCAGTGTCACATCAGAATGCAACACTGGCATAAACTGCTGAGGGTCTCCAGCTGTTAAGCATATCCTGCCATGTAGCTAGAAATGTATCTGTATCTGTTTCATTTTTATAATTTTGCTTATGAGACTTTATTATTTATTTATTTATTTATTTATTAAAACATTTTTATGCCGCCCTATTCGCCGAAGCCTCGGGGCGGCTTACAACAATAAGCTTTGTCATATGAAGCTGGCTTTTACAGAGTCAAACCACTGGTTTACTTAGCCCAGTTTTCTCTACTCTATGTAGCATCAGCAAACAGATACTTTCACTACTTTAAAGGATCACTACTTAGATCTGAGATGTTTTGCTTGTCAGACAGCTATTCTACCAGTAACCGAGGATCCTTTCTCCATAACCTTTCATTAGTCCGTTCCATTCTGTTTTGTTTTGAAGGACCTTACATAGGACTGATCCAGATTGTGGTAATGGAATCCCCAGGAAGAATCATATCATGGTTTGGGTGGCTAACCATTCTTTATAGTCTATTTCAAAGTGGGCTGTTTTGTTTTTGTTTTCCATTCATTATGCATAACAATCATGTGTCATCCATTCGTTTTTATTTATGTTTTGGTATTTTGTAGAACTTCCAAGAGCAGCTGTCAGGATCTTAAGCAACATGACATTCCTTTTTGTGAGTTTGTCATACACAGCTGAAAGTGCTATCGTTACTGCTTTTATTACCTTCATTCCCAAGTTCATCGAGTCACAGTTTGGCATCCCAGCTTCCAATGCCAGCATCTACACTGGTAAGGCATTGCCATTAGTAAGGAAATTTATAAGGGTTATTTTTTATGTTCAGCAAAAGAAACCCAATGGAAAGGTTTCAGCAATGTTGTTCTGAATCCTGCCCCCCACCAAATCCCCAGTTAGTTGTTGTTTATGAATGAGTGGTTTTCTGTGTCTATAGCATGATCAGACTTCCTCATGGGGCAGGGTGGGAGAGTTGCTCCTGTAATGCCAATACCATTCAAAAGGTTATCCTGACCAGTTGTTAGATCATTATTAATTGTTTAGGAGCAGATGTTATTTACTCTTTTCTCTGCAAGTCATTCAGTAATGTAGCAGCCCATTGCTGGCACAGACTGAAACTGTTATATCATCATTGTCATAATTGTTGTTATTTAAATTTGTGTACCTCTTAATATGAATAGTCATTAATTAAAGTCAGAAGAACATGAGAATTGTCAAGTAGGAATGGACCACAAATTCATCCAGTCCTATGTCCTGTGGCTCAGCTTTAACTACTCAGATGCCTGTGAGGCAGTTGCAAACAAGACCATCCCACAACTTTAGGTTGCACATGCTTAATCAGAGATATTACCCCTGAATTTGGAGGCTCCTGTTTTATGTATCATGCTAAAGGCCAGTGGTAGGCTTTGTGTTTATCTTGTTTTTGGATACACACTCAAGGACATTTGCAAAATCAGCAGAGTTCATATAAGGTTTCCCTTAGGAAATGTTAAATCTCACCTGCATAAGTTCTTGCTTTTGGGTATCAGTGGGGATGTAAACACTGTATTGGAATCTGTCCATAGAACATTAAAATCAGCATTAGCATTGAGACAGTGTAAAAATATTAATAAAACACTAAAATGGTGGCAGGATAACATGATAAAAAAATACTACATTCTTTGCCAAGATTATACTATATGAAGGTGTTTAATCTTTTTTCTTATATAAATACTAATATAATTTTACTGATTTTTGCAAGTACTTTAGAAGGACCCATTCAGATAAACCAAAATAGCCTAATGCAAAATGAATCTTGGCAAAACTTTACCTCTTTAGAGTCCTTGATTGGGCAAACACTTTCTATTTGCTGCCAAGGAAGAGTTTTAGAAATAGCAGTTAAAACCATAGTAATAGTTAGACTATCTGAAGAGACATGAGGAAAACAACTGCAGATGGACTTGCTCCAGAGAAAGAAAATTGCAGGTGAACTTCTAAATAACTTAATACATTTTAGAAACATAGAGAGAGGGAAAGAAGAATCTTTTATAAATAGTGGCATTTTAAAAATTGAATTATTGTTGTAGGGGAAGTTTGTAAAGAGCATGCATATATCTTCATAGGGTAGTAAAGTCATGCATTGCATGACATGAAGCCTGTTTTGATTGACAGACCTATAATTAGTACAGAAGCTTCTGCAGCCTTATGAGTCTTGCTTTGTGTATTACGGTATACCCAAGAGTCTTTGTTGTATCATTGCCTAATATTATATGTGTAGTCCAAAGCAGAAAAGTTAGAGCACTAGCTATGGAGAATTGCCACTAATGTTGAAGCCAGGGATGAGAGAGACCCAGATAAGTTGATACATTTGTTATAGGTTGTTAAAAGGCTCTTTGTCATCACCTATACAACAAAAGATACTTCATGATTCTCATTTGCTATATTTCAAGAGAATTCTTTCCTGAATATCCTGATTATGGAGCCGTGTCCCAGAAGCTATGCTGCCCAAATGCATTTTGGTTACCCTGTCTCTTCTCATTTGGTTTCAGGTCAAACCTAGCATTGTTTATGCCCATAGTTGGCTGCTTCAGCATTAGATGATTTTGCCATTTATGAATGTTGGTGGTATTACAGAGGGCCAAATCTAATGGTCCTATATCATTTTTTGAATCATTGTTGCATGGAAGAATGTACTGATTAGGCAAATGTTAAATTTGAAAATGGTTATACTTACTTCAGCATGAAAGCCATTCAAGTGTAAAGATGTTTCACTGGAGACCAAGGGCAGGCTCATCCATACTATTGTATTCCTAATCTCTGTGTATGGGTATGAATACTGGACAATGAAGACAACTGACAAGGAGGAAACTGATGCTTTTGAAACATGATGGTGGAGGAAAACTTAGCAAATACCTTGAATTGACAGAAAGACCAACAAGTGGGTTCTAGAACAAATCAAGCCAGAGCTTTCCCGAGAAGCAACTTCACAAAATTGAGGCTGGCATACTTGGGAGACCTCTTGAGAAGGCAAGATTCCCTGCAGAAGACAATGCTAGGGAAAGTTGAAGGCAGAAGAAGAAAAAGAAGTCCAAATATGGAATGGACTGAATCCATAAAGGAAGCCACAGTACTGAACTTAGAAGAGCTGAGTGGGGCTGTTGTGGACAGAACATTTTGGAGGGCTTTCATTCATGGGGTCACCTTAAGTTGCTGACTTGACAGCACATAACAACAACAACAACTGAAAGGCATATTCATTGGGCTGCCCTTTCTGTATTTGTCTGTGTATCTGGAAATGGCAAGGAAATGGCAAGAGGGGACGGCACTTATGTGTCATGACACTGAAGAGAAAAGTTTTCAGGTGCCTATAAAAAAATCTGCCCTACACATTTTGATCACAATAACATTTGGATAAGCTACCTAGGTTGAAAGAAATCTCCTTCAGGGATTGCTTATCTTTCCTCAGATGTACCAAAAATAATCATAGAAAGGAAATTTCCTTCTGAATGTTGTTGAGCAAAAATATGAAATAGTTTGGCATCTGAAAACATTTTGTCTCCTGTTTTTGTTGAAATAGCAGTACACCCATTCTAAAACTTTAGCACAGTCTTCCTTTATTTAAGTGATTTCTAGATATTTTGGATGACATCTCCCACAATCACCTGCCACTGGCCATGTTAATTAGGCCTGATTGGAGATGAACTACAAAATATGGAGGTTAAGGAATACTGCTTTAGAAGAATATCACTGTGGAAATAATATTGAAATCAGGCTGTGGACTAAAAAATGGAACTGTCTCATGTATCCTTTTTTAAAGAGAGTGTCTTGCCAAGTTGCACTAGCCTTCTGGTCACTGCAACATCTGTCTGGACAGCAAGTTGCCATTCCCTGGAAGCTCTAGGTTAAACATAACCTGCACATTTGTCAGATGTTCCATGACAATAGATTTCACAAAGGCATGAATCCCTGACTAAAAAGCATTCCTTGAGCCTAACCCTTGCTTACTTAAAATTGTTATGGTGCTTGGTGGCTCTTATTCCCTAGTAAATCTGTTTAGGATTGAAACTTCAATGCCTTTTGTGACAACCCATCCTACGGGAACTTTCAGAAAGTGTTTATGTTGTGTGGGAACTCGAAATTTTTGAAAACAACCCAAGGGCAGAGGCTGGAATTGCTGATTGAAAACTGATCTTGGCTTAGGGTGCTTAATGCAGTAGCAACTTTGCCACATTGAAATTTCATTCTTAAGCCATCTCTAGAAAATCAACTCATGTATGATATGGCAGCTAGCAATAAGATACTATATTTTAGTCTGTCATATGACACCATTGCTTAACACATACTTTTCTTTGGAATCTTCCTTGAGCAAACCAAGACATAACTGAGTATTTTTAGAAGGCACTGCCTTTCATTTCACATAGATAGTCATAAAAATGTATGTGTCATTGCTCATAAGGCCTTTAGGAGACTCTTTTTATAAATACAGTTCCTTGTAGTCTGCTATTTAAGTATTACCTTTCTATACCTCCCAATCGCTGATGTTCCCGGGCAGGTTCAAAACAAAGCCATGAAATATAACTCCATAAAACACAACATTAAATAAAATAATAATCAAAAACAACATAGCACTGACCGAGAGATTGAAAAAAATTAAAAGATATAAAACAACAGAAACTAAAAGATGAAAATGTCTGGCCAAGTAAGTTCGTCATCTGGGGCCGAAAAAGGACACAATGTAGGCACCAGGTGGAAGCTCATTCAACCCCCAAAATGTAGCCCTAAGTATAGTGCAGTAATCCTGATGAGATGTTACCAGAGAATGGATAACTGAACTAGGTTATTTCTGTTCAGATAAGAATATAAATGGTATATTAGCCTGAAAGGTAAAAGGTGTTCTGTGCCATGGAGTCCACCTCTAATGACAGTGGTGGATTCAGAAGCACCCCAGAACTATGACCCTTGCCCTTTACTTGGGCTGCAACATCCTTCCATAACATGTTAAGCATCACTTATCTGGACAAATGAACTATCCTCTTACAGTGCTTACATGTTACCTTGATTATCTGTTTATTGTCCCTTATCTAGTCTATTACCATACCCAGGAACTGATTCTGAGTAGCCACTGCAGTGCTAATAAAAAGGATAGTGGTGGTATATGCACGTTGGTGACATCTCAGTCCATATCTCGGGTTAACCTACCCCAGTGTTTTCATGTTGATATTAAAAGGCATAAGTAATAAAGTAGAGCCCTGGGACACCCTGTGGCATAACTGTTGAGCAGTTATCCTCTAGTGCCACCTTCTGAGGTCATCCATCCAAGCAGAAGCAGAACCACCATAGTATATTATTTCCAACTCCCAACCTAGGTAACTTGTCCAAATGTTATTGTGATCAATGCTATCAAAGGCTGCTGAGAAGTCTAAGAGAATCAAGAGGTTTGTACTCTCCTGTCCTTCTCCCAGCAGAGGTCATCCCACAGGGTGACCAAGGCAGTCTCTGTTCCAGAAATAGACCTGAAGCCTGATTGCAATGGATGTTGATAATCAGTTTTATTCAAGGGTGTATGGAGTTGGCTGTCAACCATCTGCTCAAGCACTTTGCCCAGGAAGAGGATATTAGCAGCCAGCCTATAGTTTTCAATATCTGCTGGGACACTGTTAAGTTTTGGTCAGGGGTGCCTTAATCAGTGCCTCTTTTAAATTGCCACACGTTCCCTCAAGAACAAATTAACAGCTCCTGCACCTAGTCAGACATCCCTTGCCTATTAGATGTATTAAGTCATGATAGGTAAGGGTCAGACAGTGAGGCGACTTGTTAACATCCTAAGCCTCAACAGTTGAAACTCAGCCAGTAAAATTGAACCAGATGGTACTCTGGACAGCACTGTTAATGAAACTGTATAAACTGTGGTGTTCAAGTTGTGATGAATGCAAGTGATTTCACCTTGAAAATCTCATATTAAAACCTTTTAATTGTTTTACCCAATTATTGACTCTTTTATTTTATTTTATTTTATTTTATTTTCATAATTCTTAAAATTTCACTCCCCCTTTGGAGATTGATTCTGTCCGAAAATGGGGGAGGTATTTTCAGCTCACCACACAAAATCTTTCCCAGAGAAAGCATGGATTAATATTTCTTAGATTTGTAAGTCTACAAAATGCCATTAAAATGCTTTGCCACTGTAGTTCCAGTGCTTGTTTTTCTTGGCAGCTATGAGAAATTAAATAATTTAAAAATAAAGGCAAACTCACATGGAGATGTTGAACAGACAGCATGGTCAGATCAGATTATAGGTATTGTGAATGCAGCTGGTGGCAGGTGAAAAAACAAAGAGGATAAAATGGCGATAAAATGGCGATAAGATTTGACAGAGAAGTTATAACATGATCTAGTTCACTTTCAAGGATTTACTGATCTTAATACCTAGATATTTGTCTTACAACAGAAAAATTAATCACAGATTCAGTTAATTTATCATTCTTTCATCTTTTCTTTTTGTCTCTCCTTTGTCAGTTCTAATTGGAGGTTTACATAAAAATATTTCAGACTATGAGATACAACTCTGTTAAATTGGTTTTAAAACTTATAAAAACCTATAGTACCAGTTCAGACCTGGTTCTAGCATCAGGAAAAGACAGGTTCCATCAAACTACCCTTAATTATTGATGCATATCTAAAAAGATACATGAATTATCTTCTCCACCAAATATCTATGTCTAAATAATTATAATGCAGTGAGAGCTTCATGTTCTTTTCTATCTGAACTTCACATTCTAATGCATTTGAAGCTCAGTTCCTTCCAAGGCCAGCATAAAAACTAAGTAATAGCTTGTATTTAACAATACTCCTATCTATGATGTTTCTGCTGGTCTGGAAAAATCGTAAGGAGGCTTTTATTAATCTTATTGGCATTATTGCTAGGTACTGAAAACTCTGACCATTTTTTGCTGATAAAAAATTTCTTAAAATGAGCTATCAAGATGTGTAGCTGTTACTTTGATCTGTGTCACATTAGACTGCAAGTGGTGATAGTTCCCATGAGGGAGTACTCCCCTGTGATTGAACAAAAGCCAACACCAAGAAAACCAGCGTGGCAGAGAAAAGATTAGGTTAGGCTAAGCTAAATTCCATGTTCTTGCTGTCTAGTTTTTGTATATAGAATTTGTGGGAGGAGGGTTAAGAAAGATAGCATGGAAGATTATTTGATCATAAAGCACTCCAAAAGCAAACCAACTTTACTTTTTTTTCTTGTAAGGTATCTGGCAAACCAATCTCAGCTGGTAAAAGACATGCCTAGCTATTGTTGCCATGTGTACTTCCACAGTTAGGGCTGAGTTCAGTAGTACACCACGCTTGCCAACTTTTTTCTTTAAAAAAATGCACCAGCCATCCAGATTGGTTGGTTGTAGGCTCATTTGTTTGTGAGCACTATAACTTAGACCAGCCTTCTTCAACATGGTAAACTCTCTTGGATTTAAACTTTCATCAGCTCCATTCAGTATGGTCAACAGCCAGCATGCTGGAAGTTGACATTCAAAACATCTGGAGGGAACTAGATTGGTGGAGGCTGTTTTAGATAATGACATGGTTCACATGTAATAGTGGCAAATCACAGATTAATTAGCTTGATTGAAGGCTGTATATGCAAACTGTGGCAGTATGCTCTGTGGCAAATTGTGAGCTAATCAACCAATGCTTTGCTTCCTAAACAGGGCAGTAGAGTCATAAATTACCTATGTGATTGAACCTTGATATTACGAAATATAAAGAGGGCATTCTTTGAATGCTTCTGCCAACTGAATTAAGGCTTATAGTGCCTATAAGACTAAGTGCCTTTTCAGTAGTGGATCCTCAGTTGTTTAAAGGCATTCCTAGAGAGAATCTTGCCACCTGCTTTCATGTTTTTTCAGAGCCTGAATAAATGAATACGTACATCTTGTCTTACCTTTTAAGCTAGTCTGAGAATTTTAGTTGAATTTAAGTGTGGATATTAATACTTCAGCCCTATACCAACTTGCCTGCAAGTAAGTCCCACTGAAACAAATGTGATTTATTTCTGAGTAGACATGTATAGGCTTTGCTGTAACTGTTAATAAAAACTATGGGCATTTTACAAGTTCAACCAGTGAAAAATAAATTTCTCTCTTTCCTTTTCCCACTTTTAACCCAATATATATTTTAATGTTTTAACCAGGTGTAATTATTGTTCCAAGTGCTGGTGTTGGTATTGTCCTAGGGGGCTACATTATAAAAAAGCTCAAGCTCAGTGCAAGAGAATCTGCAAAGTTGGCAATGATCTGCAGTGGTGTGTCTCTGTTGTGCTTTTCAACACTCTTTATTGTTGGATGCGAAAGCATTAATCTAGGAGGGATAAATATACCATATACCACTGGGTAAGTACCTTTTGTCTGACGAAATAATGTATGCCCTACATCAAAGCTAACCTTTTATGTAAAGTTAATAACTTGGCTTTTTCCCTGCTAAGAATAAAGAACTTAAAAGTGCTTTAATAAAACAAGAAATGGAGAGATGTAATAGATAACCACAATTTAAAGCTCTAGTAAATGGCTGGCACCAGTATTACACCATGAACACTTCCTGCCTTGTTCTGAAAAGAAGATTGCATATCCTCTGAAAAGTCTCAGAGTGTGGTTGAGGGGCACAAATTCAACTGCTTTGTTGAAGCTGGTGGCAAGGACCTGGATGGGAGGTGGCTTTACACTTCCTGTCTATGTCACTTTGAGTTCAATAAGGGAAGAAACATGGGATACAAGTTACTAAGTAAAGTAAGTAAGGCTACTGCCTTTTACTTGGTCAAGTATATTCAGAGAAGCTCACTTCCAAATAAATAATTTAGCACTGTAAGTAGAATTTAAACTTACTGAAAGACAAACCCTCTTCATTTCATTTGGAATCGTATTAGTATTTTTTAAAATTTTTCAGAGAGATCCAGTGATCTTACTTCTGGGCTATGAATTACCATAAAGTCTTACTTTAAAATGGTAGCTTTGAAGGCTGCTGAGGAAAAACTGTGACAAAAGCTTCTGGGCCTTTTGTGAGACTAGAGAACTGTATGATCTGCCAGTTTGTCTGCCCAAACTGTGACTATGATAAGGGTTCCAGAATTATTTAATGAGTGGGAATAGTGGCTTTTCCACATTAGATATATGTTACCCATTGAAATTAGAGGTAATAGGTGAGGGTAGATGAAAGGATACATTATTTGGGCCTCTAGACCTAAACTGGAAGCACATGAGGCAGAAACCTTACTGAATCTAACTAGCTCTAGATCTGACCATTGTCTGGATGGACAACTGCATGATAAGGCCATATGCACTGCCTTGAATTCTATGAAAAGCTGGATATCAATGTAAAACCCATATGATAGAGACTATGGACAGAAACAACTCTCCAGTGGTGATGACCTGCAAGATCCATGAAATGTTTGTTTATAAGAGACTTAAGTAAATGGGATTAAGAGAAGCTGAAGCACATCAATCAGTCAATCAATCAAAGAAACAAGCAATCAGTTCTTTTTTTCCCCAAAACATACATATTGTTGGGGAGGTTGGAGGGAAGGGGGTTGTGTTATAAGTTCATACTGGACTCAGAGAAATGATGCTTCTGGGATTCCTAGAGTAATCTGTCTGACCAGTGTAGGAAACAGAATGCTGCATTTGTTGAACCTTTCCTGATCTAGCAGAGCTCTTCCATTCTCATACCTGATTGTTTTTATAGCGACACATAATTTATTTTTCTTCTGTTTTAGATTATAAGTTCTTAAGAGTAAGAGCTAGTTGCCCTTCTTATAACTATAACATACCTGTAGGCACTGCATAAATACTAACAAGCACAGGACTGAAAGCAGATTCTTCTCTTTAAATACCTTATCTCTAGCTCATCTGTAACAAAAAGAGCTTTGCTTTTCAGCAAGTCGATAAATCTCTTACCATACAGGTAAAACAGAACAAGTAATTACAGTGTGTGGTTCATGTTTTGCAGGTTTTCAGCTAGGGGAACTGGCTAATAATTCTGGGTGTTTCTGTGTCCTGCTTACTCTTAGAGATTACACTTGGCTGAAGAAGCTGGAAAACTAACAAAGTTTAGGCTGAAAAGTTATTCTGTAAATTTGTTGATGCACTCAGTCCTACATTCGCTGATGTGCCATAATTTCCCTTTATCATCAGAACACTCAAGGACATTCTGTGCATTATATCCTAGTCCCAGAATTGATGACTCTAGAATTTTGAATCCCAAAAGTGCTGCTGACAAATTGCATACCAAAGCATACTGCTAATTTTCCATTCCCAAATTCACACATGAAACTCTTCAGTGATGGTCTTTGTCAAAAGGTTTTTGGAAATCCAGTTATACATTATTTGCTATATCACCCCTGACTCCATAGTCTCACAGAGAACTCCAGAATGTTAGTGAGACTGGACTTCATTTGATTTATTAGATTTTTATACAGTCAAAACCTGGTAGGTTTTCATAGTCTGATAATGTCAATACAAAATAAAAACCATTTCTCTATTTCACACACACTATGAATCATCAAAAATAAGAAATTTCAGGATCTGAAAAGAACCTATCATACCCTGCCAAATTCCTGAATGTAGACATTCTTGACCTGGCCCCCCAAAAATGAGAATGTTGATACTAGCTGAACCTCACTTGGGAGTTTGTTCCACAGTCAGGGGTCCACTTGCCATCTTCAGAGGAGGGCCCCGAATCATGCGTATAACATATGGCTAAGCCCATTTTGGGAGGGCCAGTCCGTAAAGGTATTGTAGTCCCCAGGTGTGTAAGGCTTTATAGGTCAAAACTAGCACCTTGAATCTGACTCAAATGTACAGCTAGCCAGTGCATTTAGCTCACAATCAGTATTGTATGTTTGGTCCTTCTGCTTGCCATTTTCAATCTGCCTACTGCATTTTGCACACATTTCACCTTCTGAACTGTCTTCAAAAGCAGTCCCATGTAGAGTGCACTACAGCAATCTCAATTGGAGGTTACTAAAAATTAATGAAACCAGATTTTCCCTGTAGGGATGTGACTGGGCCACCCCTTGAAACTGATAGTAGATACTCTGTACTACTGGTGCCACCTGAGTGTCAGGTGACAAAGGGGGCTCCAGGAGAATGTCCAAGTTAGAAATCTGCTGCTTTGAAGGAGTGTAACTGCATTTACTCTCTAAACAGAGTAAATGGGCAACATAATGGACAAGGTGGAGCAGTATACAAGGTCATCCACACTGGCAAAAAAACCCCCTAACTTTACAAATGTAGCATAGGAGTCTGGACTTCTAATGACTAAACAGGAAAGGTATTTTGTAGCTGTGGTCGACAGCTCAACTTAGTGTGTGGTGACAGTGAAAAAATATTTAAAAAAGGACTGAAAATATAATGAGTACTAAATTTATAGTAAAGCCACATTTTGGAATCATGTGTACAGTTCTTAGCACTCAAAGAGGTTAACTTAAAGCAAGAAAACCTGCAAAGAAGGGTCAAATAAAATGAGCCATGAGCTGAAGCTTATTTCTTAGATTTGGTTTGTTTTTCTTGTTGGTGTGGGACAAGACAGCTTATTAGGGGCATGAGAAAAATTTATAAAATTATAAATGGAATGGTACTTGCTGTGATGGTCAGATCCGTCCCCTGGTTCAGAAGCAGAAAGTCTCTAACTACTGGTTGAGGGATGTTTGTGCAACAAACTAGGGTGAAATACTGTATTTGCATAGTATTTCTTTGCAGTCAGATAACAATGGATTATTTCAAAACCTATTTAAGCCTTTTTAATTTATATTTCTTTTAAAAATGTAATTAATAGCATTCTAAATTTATCTCTCACTTTGAAAACTAACATAGACGCAATGAAATTTCATTTATAAGCTTGCTAAACCTGTGCTTACAGTCTTTTAAAAATGAATTTACCCTCCAGTTAACCATGGGGATCAAAGTCAACTTTTCATCTCATGAAATTGCTTCTTTCCAGTCTATCTACAAACCCTTTTTTCATGATGTTCTGGGCTTTCAATTAGTCTTTGCTGGTTTGCATAAGCAAAATAAGCCACCAAGGTGCATGCAGGCCACCATTTCAATTATGACCGCTTGTCATGTCATAAACCCAGGGCAGCTTAGCTTGTTAGAGGGGGAAATAACACTACAGCAGTCCATCAGCTACAGCAAATTGTTTTCATTTCCAAGAATCCATGCTGCTAGGTCTCCAACAATACAACAAGGTGTGCCCACATGGCAGTTATGCAGTGTGCCTCACATGCAACATAATTTAAATAAGCCACCTTGACTTTTTTTTTTTAAATTGTGTGAACCAGGTCTCTGACTGAAGTCACATGTGTAATGAAACAGGCTGGATATGGTTCTTGTTCTATATTTACATGGTAGAAGAGTTAAACCCAGTAAGCCAGAGGAGTTGGTTAAGACAATATACAGCAAGGTAGATTAAAAAAACAATACCTGAAAAAGAACAATTGAACAACAGATTTAAAAACTGAAATGTTCTCTAGTCACTTTCAGTCCTTGCCTTTTTACTTATTGGTCATGGGTATGCCATTTTGTTTGCTACTTCCTTTTCTGTGAAGGTTGTACCAAGACAGAGTGAAGCAGAGAGAAGCAATACTGGGAAAAAACAAAGAAGACCAACTTGTCTGTCCATTGTGCATCTTTCTATATGGTCATGCTAAAATTGCAATCCTGTATCCACTTACATAGGAGTCAGGAACACTGAACTCACAGGATGCAAAGGACTGTGCTGTTAACTTCAAACTGCCATCGATGCTAATAAAAAGAAATACCCTGCATGGCAATATTTGCAAGACATTTCCCCTATAAATATATTGTGAGATAAAAGGTGCAAAAGCTGCTTGTAGGAATGAAACAGGAAGTGGTACTGGTCTCCAGTTTGGATGTCTTTAAAAGGACAGATTCATGGTGGTGGGGGGGGAGGCTAAGAGTATCTGTTAACTTTGCTGGTTATGTGTTACCACCCTTATCAGACGAGGCCAGCCTGCATGCCCCAGTTGCTGATGCACTTGGACAGGAGGAGGTCCTGCACCCATCCTGTTTGAGGGATCCTGTGAGCAGCTGGTTTGCCACTGTGTGTACAGAGTGCTGGACTAGATGGACCTTTGGTCTGATCGAGCATGGCTCTTCTTACGTTCTTATGTTTTTAGACAACAGTACTTTCTAGTGTAAATCAGCATGGCTATGCACCATTGTTCATGAAATATTTCAATGAGAAACTTGATTTAAATTACCAAATTTACCTTTTTTCTTGCTGATGTAAATCTTCTTGCTTTAATCCCCATCCTTCTTGTAGGATCCCCAAAATTCTTTGGCCACTATTGGAACAGGTTGTGGAAGTAGATGGACTGCCAGTCTGATTCATTCAACTCTTTTTTTATGGCACACACCCACTGAAATAAATAAATCTTCATTACAGTATTGGTAATGGCAAAAATAAAACTAGAACGACTTCTGCAGTGCGCTGTCTGTGTACAAGTGAAGACAGTGTGAGAAGCCTGTTGTTTACAAGCTGCAAGCATTCATGTTGTTTTCTTTAGCTGCAGCTGGATTTGACATTTGGGAGTCACAAAATGTTCTTGAGGAGAAATGAATGGTCATGCCACTTTTTAAAGCACTGAATGTAACAGCTTCAGTTCTTTGTTTCTTTCTTCACCTTGGCTGGAAGTCTGAAAACAGAGATTAATTAAAAGAAAACATTGTCATTAGTACCTTATTACTTTTTATAATGTTAGTTTTTCCCCAGTCCCATCCTTCTCAGAGATTAATAAAATATATTAATTGCATCAAACGTATTTGTCCATTTACAATTGGTAAAGGAGAAAGTGCTTTTCCTTAAAAAGAAATTGGTGTGTTCAAGGAATTGATTCATTTCTCATCAACTTGACTACTGGCCAGGAATTCTGGGAGCTGCAGTATAAAACATCTGGATGCCACAAGGTTGGAGAAAGGTGCCTTATTTGAATAAGGCCTACTCTGAAAATCCAGTGAGACAATGCTTCAGTGAAAAACTTTTTGAATTATCATTTTATTTTATGTATGAATTGAAAACAAGAACCCTTCTTGGTTCAGTCTCTAGATAAATGTTCTGTTCATCCAGTGATCACCTAGATGTCTGTAGAAAACATGAATGCAAAGGACATGAATTCAATAGCATCTTCCTGATTTTGTTTCCCAATAAGGTACATATAAGCAAACCACCTCTGATACAGGAGGCGGCATACAGACAACACAACTAGTGTTCATTGATAGCCCTGTCCTTCATGAATTTGTCTAACTTGCTTTTAAACCCATCTGGAATGGTGCCCCTAACTGCATCCTGTGGTAGTGAATTCTTTAAATATCCAATGTGTCTTCCACATGTCCCATGACTTCCCTTATGAATTTCCATGTGAGTATTGAGTGAGTGAATTCCAGTACACCTGCCATATCAAGTGTCTTTTTCTGTAGATAAAAATTATTGGCTATCATATCTTTGTAACTGCATGACTCTTAATGAAACTGCTTTCTAAAGTCTTTATACCACTTGGAAATATGTCTCCAAGTTGTTTAACATTTCTTGCAGTTAACATGTAATGTTATCTCCCTTTTTTGTAGCCCTACTCTCACCATGACACATAGGAATCTGACTGGTAGCTGTAATGTTAACTGTGGCTGCAAAATCCATGAGTATGAACCTGTTTGTGGGTCAGATGGAATTACATATTTCAACCCTTGCCTGGCTGGTTGTATCAGCAGTGGAAATCAAAGCATAGGGGTGAGCATGTCAACAATCAAATGTTTGCTTTTTTATACTATGAAAAAAGGTGCTGGTTATGCCATCTTTCTTCCACTTTCGGTGCAGTCCTTGCCAAAACTGCTTCTTTAGGGACTGGGGCTGTAGCTCAGCCATACAGCATGCAGAAGATCCCAGATTCAGTAACTGGCATCTCAGGATAGGGCTGGAAAAGCATTCTGCTTGAAATGCTGGAAAGCCACTGATAACACTCATTGTAGACAAATACTGCATTAGATGGACTGAGTGAAGGCAGCTTCCTGTTTTCCTGTGGATATTGGCTTATAACTTCACTGAAAATGGTGATTGTTCTTAGCCTAAATAATTTTCCTGCTTAATGACAAAGTGTATTGACAGTGCATAGAAAAATGCTGCTGGTGCAAAGCTTAGTTTGAAAAAACTATGCCTCTAGGCCTCACATAACCTAGTGTTGTTATTCAGATTTCTAATTTAGCTTGCCTGTGTTTAAGAAACTCTTTGATGTTTTCACAGCCAAAGTGGGTTTCCTTAAATGCTTCCTTCAGACCACCCAACTTCAGGCATTCTTAAATTCAAATTATTATTATAGTTCTTCCCTCTGGTCTTCCTCCAAGACAGAAGTGACTTTTTTCTGCTGTAATGATTTCAAGGTGTGTGATGTACATGTTAGAGTTCACCACAAGGTGGATCACTCCCACTTGGTAGGGAGAACAAGTTTTGTGGGTTTTCTGGATGAAACCCACAGCAGTCAACATTTGAAAGGAAGCAGCTTGCCTGCCCAACCAGCTACTCAGTAGTTCAGGAAAACTTAGGTGGAGTGAAGCTTAGATGGGATGTAGGCTGGATGATGTCCCCATATTCCTTTATGTCACCATTCCCCAACATTAAGTGGCAATGTGAGTTCCAGCTGGTGTTTCAGACTGGACCTGATCCCCCTGAGAAAGGAAAGTGTAGCAAGGGTAAAGTGGCCCTAGCTTGGAGGCTGAGCAGCAGAATCATCTTGTGTAGCTCTGCTTTGGCCCCTTTCTTCTTCCTAAACCCCTGGTAGATTTCTGGGGGCACAGCCTGGGCAGGGGGTGTGGCTCACAGAAGGGGCTCTATGCAAATTGGACAGAGAATGGCTGCAGGTCTAAGTTTCTATTGCTCTAGATGTACCCTGGTCTGTCATACTATGATCATAGGTCTACATTCTTGTTTGTTCATCCTGGCTAGGCTTCCAAGGTCACTCTTAGCATGGTTTCTAACCCAGGCCCTGCCCAATTCAAATAGTGTCTAAAACTATGAATCTGACCTGTCATACCCAAAGCAATGTTTTTAAAGTTCTAGTTTCCTTGGTTTGGATCCTCTGCTCTGACTTCTCTTGTGGAAGACTGAGCAGGCCTCCATTATGACTTAGCATGCAAATACAAATTACTTCAGCAAATACATGTTTCCAGAATCATGTTTACTATGGCTACAAGAAAAACAAGGGTGTGATTCATTTTGCCCTTATGTTAGCATATCTGAAGAACTATGATTTCTTAGTAAAACATACAAACGAGAAACCTTGTTTCATGTTCCTTCTGTTCAATATTTCACAGATGAGAAATTATACAGAATGTGCCTGTGTCCAGAGCCGCCAAGTTATCACGCCACCAACAGTTGGACAGCGCAGCCAGCTAAGAGTGGTGATCGTCAAAACATATCTCAATGAGAATGGTTATGCTGTGTCTGGGAAATGTAATCGAACCTGCAATACACTCATCCCATTCCTTGTTTTTCTATTCATAGTTACACTTATTACAGCATGTGCCCAGCCATCAGCCATTATAGTAACACTCAGGTGAGAGGTGCCTGGATCATTACACTATCAGTCGGGGATTAGTATGCTGTTCTCACCTTTGAGTGTCTGCATCATCGTCTCGTCCTTGCCTGTCTGATAATAAATCTGGCTGTAGCTGATTTGAATGCTCTTTTTTAGGTGTTTGTGCCTGTGTGGGCCCTCAGAGACAGATATACAGCTTCTCAGGGTGTATATAGGGAAATAGCTTTTTAATCGAACTAATATTTCCAGTAATTAATATTACTGCTCCAAAGTGTTTTATTATTTCTGTTTTAAAAGGAAGTTGCATGTTAAGCAGAAATATTTGATCCCCTGGTACAACTTTGCTGCACTGACCAGGATAGAACTTACCTTTCTATAAATGGTGAGAGGATATTAGGAAATGTCAGCAGTTTCACAAACAGTAACTATCATTGTAATGAGGCATAGGAGTGTTGCAAATATGACCTGCTTCCAATAATAAGATCTAGGTATTACATACAAAGACTTTGCTTTACTTCAACATTTTGTTATGCCTCCAAATACTCAAAATGGAGACTTATATTGGGTGGAAGTTGGGGAGCTGCTTCTTTGCCTTGTCTCTGAATGGGATGGAGAAGCAGTTTGGGTGGAATAGAAAACAAAGCCTGATCAATTTTTATTGATTCTGCTTTTCATCAGGTGATACAGGAGATTTTTTTCAGTTTGCTTCCTCAGTTAAGTTGCTTTCTCTGAACTGCTGAATTTACTTCTCTTAAATTGCCTATCTCCACTTACTGTGTGGCTGCTGATAGGCATGCCAATAAGATGGTTTATTCTGTATAAGGAGGGGAACTTAAGAAATGATGGCTTACAGTTCAAGGCTTTACAATTACTATGTCTTTTCTAGGTCTGTGGAAGATGGTGAGAGGCCTTTTGCACTTGGAATGCAATTTGTTTTATTAAGAACCCTTGGTGAGTGCAGAGCAAATAGGGTTGACTTACTATCTATCTAGATTACATTGGCTTTATTCAGATGTTACAGAAAACTATGATGACATTTGAATGGAGCAAATGCCTGTTACTATAATTTCTTGTGATGGGCCTAGCCTTGTCCAGGTTCATCCCTTTTCCCTTTGCTGTAGCCATGAGGAGATCACAATGTTTTGCTTATGTTCTTAATTATTAGCAGTTTGTTGTGTTTTCTGAACTTCACAAACTGCAGTTTATTTACTATAGTTTATTCTACAAACTGTGCAAAGCTGGTGGACTAAAGCTGATAGAGAAGCTTTCAGCTGTGCTTGATGATGGGGAGAGGGAAGAGAAAGTTGGTGGAATTAAGGCTACGGTCATTTCTGTTCTTACAAGCCATGGTTTATTGTGAGTTCCAGTAATATTGTTAATGCAAAATACGTGATTAGAAGTTTATTGTTCATGCTAAGTTTGACATTGAACACAGTCCTGTAAGTTGCCCAGTTAAATCTAAGCATTTCCTTTGTTTTTGAAGCAAATAGTTCATGAACATCTAGATCCTAAGACTTACTTCCCTTCACTTTGATTTGTTGTCAGGTTTTAAAGAAAGAATATTTTAGTCTTGACAGAGTGCAATATACCAAAATTATGAACTGTGTAATATAAAAATAAGTTGTTTTAATGTAAGAGTCAATTGAATTTATCCTTCCAATTTATTTCAGCATACATTCCTACTCCTATTTATTTTGGAGCTGTCATTGATACCACCTGCATGCTGTGGCAACAGGAGTGTGGTGTGCAGGGCTCATGTTGGGAATATGATGTGACGTCGTTTCGTTTTGTCTACTTTGGCCTATCAGCTGGTCTCAAATTCATTGGATTCCTGTTCATTTTCCTTGCTTGGTATTCCCTTAAGTATAAAGAAGAAAAATTGCAAAGGCAGATGTGGCGGGGTTTGCCTATCAGCACAGTGAGTGAAGTGGTAGGTAACACTGGAACTCAACAAAACTATGCACGGACTAGATCCTGTCCTACCTTTAGTTCTCAAGGTGAGCGTGCGGAGGATATTGATCTGATGAAAGGAATGCATTGCACAGCACACACCTACCCTGCTCCCCTTATAGAAGCAATAAATGCCTCAGTTGAGAAAACTTCAAAAGAAGCCACTCCTGAGATATAGGGCCCTCCTCCTTGGCAACCTTAGATTTGGTTTCTTGGTTAATTTAAAGTATGGGACCCTTTGAAACATCTGTGCCTTCTTTTTCTTAACATGATCTGCAACAAACTTAATGCTCAGAGACATGGCATATCTGAGGGCTGGATACCTCAAAACAACCCAGGTAGCTCTTTCTTCCCTTTGGAGAATAGTGTTTTAACCTATGTTTGTAAATACTTCAGCAGTGTCTGTTAAATCTTGAAGTTCAAGGCATGTGTAAATGAGATCATAAGCTGCAAAAAGAAAAAAAAAGTGAGTTGTGATAAAACTGTATATTACTGGTGACAAAATACTGAGGTTATGCAGCCACAAGCCTTGGACTGTGCAAGCTGGAACACTTCTAAATTCTCTTGTAAAAGCACAACCTAAACTTGATTCAGCTGTGCAACTTTTTATTATGTGTATGTTCTTCCATGTTTCTGTCACCTGATGTGGAAAAGAGGCCATTTGGAATCATAAAATGTACAGTTATACTATATGTTCTTTTCTTTTCAGGAAATACTTGAACACATAGAATAGTTATAATTTCATACTTCATCTGGCATATACAAGTCATAATACTTTCAGCTTGTACTGTTCATTAATTCTAGCTTGACATACTATTTTTCAGTTTAGGTTGCAAAATTATTACCAATAGTATTTAGTTTTTGGTATGATGAAAGCATAACAAACATGCACATCAAAGATTAATTCGGGATTTGCATATGATTGCACTTGGGAATTAATCCACTACAGATAGTTCAATAGTATCACCAAATCGACACTCAGTGCTTTCTTAAATTGAGTTGACACAAAGTCAGCCTTGGTGTGTGACAATCCAAGGAGAAACTAATACATATTAAGCTGCTATATGGCACAGTGGTTAATGATTTTGTCACATGACCAGACTGCTGTTTATATACCTCATTATGCACTAAGTGTCATTCTGAACATGTGATGCATTTCAGTGACCGCTTTGCCATGTGGTTTGCTGTCATATGCACTGGATTCTTGTCAATTTCCTGAAGGTAAATTGTTAGGCAAATGTATGGGTCCTTTAAAGTTCATACATGTTGCAGACAGATGTATATCCATTATAACTGCAGCATTTGAAGGTCATTTCTTTAATTTCATCAGCACTACAAAAATATGTGCCAGATAACCAGAGCTGGTCAAATCTTTTTCTGCAGTATTGAAAAGAATGTCCTCATACTTGCCAGGTTGTGGAAAAACTTATCCTGAAATTATACCTGGAGTACTCAATTGTATTATATTTTAAATGCAAAATGGGCATAGAATTCTAGAGGCCAACATTTTCAGGGAAGGGGATTTCCCACCCTGTCACTTATTCATAACAACAACTTTCATATCCCCATCCCTGTAAGATGTTTGCTCATGGGAGAGAAAGCAGCACCGGGAGAGGTGAATGAGAGGTCTGAACTGGCAAGTGGCAAGAAGGGAATGGGTTAAGCTGCCTCTCTTGTGCTTTCTAAGTTGGGAACTGTTCTTAATGCTACAGCCTATTTAAAGCAAACAAACACACCTTGAAGGTGTGAAGAATCATGCAGCTGAGTTGTGAATATAGTTTGGGCCAAAGTTAGAGAGTTGTCTGTTTGTTTTGTTCAATCTGAATTGGTCATAGTTCTTTTGTTAACTGTTCATTGAAGGTGACTTGTGGAGATACATCTTCTAATCCAACTTAAAGGGTATAATTCATTGGTAACTGTCACAGGTATATTCCCAATAAGATCAAAAAGACTTTCAGAAGAGCTGTTTGTAATGTTATATTGGGTTCTTCGTGGAATCCTTCTCACAGTTAAATCCTTCAATGTATACATTGAAGTTTCTAGGCTGCATTTTGAGGATGCAGTTCCCTCTGCCTTGACAGGCTGCTGTTGAATTTCAGGACAAGTTCAGATGTGGCATTTAGCACAGTGTGAGGAGTTGCTGTGAGAAGACTGAAACTGGTATCTGTCTTGCCTGCCCACAAATCTCTGTGTAACCCTACTTGAGTTTTTGCTGTTAGGAAATAAGACAAGGAGAAATGCTTCAGCTTACTTTCATAGTAATATAAGAAAACAGTATTCTAATAGAAAGTGGGAAGCACATGAGTCAATGTGTGTGTAATGAGAAATAAGATTTGTTTATGACATGGCACATATGTGATACTGTGAGGGTTTGCATTGGTGCAGATGTCATATAAAGCAGTGGTTAAGAAAGAAGTATATTTTCTTCAAACCATGATTTGAGATACGTTAGTCTTACTTATGAACTGCACCTATATCTTACAGTTAAGTATTTTAAGGGAAATTAGTGCTATTTATTGTAAATGTAAATTTTTGACTTTCAAGTGAAACAAAGGGCAAATTACCTCCCTCCCCAATTCAGTTAACATCTTCCAAGTGTGGTCATGTTTGTGCATATTTGCTGTCACTGATCACTTCAAGAAGCAGGAGGAGGCTGCCTAACAGTTTCCGCAATACTGGCCCTCATGGATTGGGCTATTTGATGTCATCCCTTTCAGAACAAGAACTGAGTGGGTTCCATGAAGGCAGCAACTTCAGTATACCCCATTTTCTCCCCCTGCAACAGTTTGTAAGTTTTAAATTAATATTTTTATACTGTATAAAATGTATATGGAAATAGACAGACATAAGTATTAATGTAAATAGATGTCTATAATTCTACTATTAAGTGTATTTATACAAACCTAATATTGCCTCAAAACCTTCATTATTCTACAGTTATTTCAATGTTGGTTTCACCTTGAAATCTGAAACCTAATAAAAAATTGCCTCCAGTACAATACATTAACAGTCTGATTATATACATATCAGGACACTGTGTCATTCACATATTTATAGTACACCTTACTACTACTGCATCCTGCAATACATTGTTGTTAATTGAAAAGCTTAAAACTTGGATTATTTTCTTTGGTAACTGTCACAGTGTGCTTCAAAAAACAACTTTTCATTGTTGCAGAGAAAAAGTTGTTCCTCCAGTATAAATTAAAGTCAGCTGAATCATCTTTGAACTGATAGACCAACTGGTGCTAATGCAATAAAATAATCTCATTAGCATCAGAAATGTTTCAAATAAATTTAAATGTTGCTGCATGTGCTTATCTTCTGAAATGCAAATTGTCTTAAAATGTATGCATAATTATAGGCACACTCTCCTCCTCCAAAAATCAGTAATTTACCTGAAGTGTAAAATTTAAATCAATACTTTTTACAAACCAATTCTGTGGCCCCTGGATAGCATCTAGACAGGAGTTTTTTGATCCCTGTTTCCAGATCAGAAAAATTATGCTGATCTGATAGTTGGAGTTTTGTGCTTAGACACTCCTCTTCTCCACGTTGCAGGAAGAACCTTTCCCGCTATTTCTCTGAAGTCATAAAAGTGAATACAGAGAAAGGATTTGGGGATGTTCCAATGGAGCAGGGAGGTGTGGAGTCCAGCACCTCCAGGATACCACATATCCGGCAGTGCTTCTTTCCTGCTCTACAGAACTGCACTCAAAATGGTTGAAACAGGCCAGGTAAATGCTTTGCAGACCAGGAGGAGCACAGAGGCTACCTTTACCGCCACACTTGTCCTGCTCTGCATAGGATAACCATAATCCTCTGAAATTGGGTGGGTTATGAGTATTGCCATGAGGTTGTGCACCAGATATCTTAACCTAGAAGGACAATTATTTATTAATTCACAGCCTTTCTATAAGACCTTGAACCTGCAAGCATTCCTTTCTGAAGAAGGAAACAAAGAGTTCAAGTTACTGTGATGCAGTTCTGCCAACCAGAAAAGATCACAAGTTTTCAAGATTCTTTTGATAACTTCTGAGCAGCCATGTAATGTACTCATTGGTCATTTGTCTTTGTCAGCTTAATACTGATTGAATGTGGTGTCAGTGGAGGCAAACCATGGATTTTGACAAATTCATTTAAAAATAGCAATTTTCAAGTGTATAATAACAGTGTCTGCCAGATACTCACTGGAAAAATGTGGTACTGTATAAGAGAAAACACTCTAAAAGAAACACGCTGCGAAATATGCAATTTTGAATTACTATTACCTTTTTAAATACTAGTATTCCCCTCATAACAAACACTCTGATGTAAGGGGGATTTTTGCCATTCACTTCAAGTGAAACAGTACTTTTTATTATGTATTATTTTCAAATTAAGATGCCTGAAAGGAAAAATAAACATAGTAGTAAATCAAGTGGCAAGCTAGTTAAAAATTTAATGCTGAATAAATGTTTGAGTAAATGCTTTCAGAGTGTCAGACAGAATGGCATTTCTTCTTTTGTGCCTAAGGTAACAAAAATGCAGATGTGATAAGTTTGTGTGGAATACAAAGGATTCCTTTTTCTTACAATTGTTATTAATCTTATGTCTTAGTGGAACAGAGAAGTTTTCATGAAAGTTCAGAGAAGTTTATATGCAAGTTCTTATAACACGATGTGGACAAGAGCTGTAAACATCAGTTGGAAAATGAAACCTTGAATACTTGACATTTTGAAATAAAAAAGGCTTCACAAATATGTATTGTTTTCTGACAAACATAATGCTTTATCTTCCCATTTTTGTGATCTGCATGTAGGGTTGAATAAGGGTGGGCAACAAGATTTGTTTGAGTTGTTTAAGCCTTCCTTGCCCGTAAGGTCTGTACTGCAAATCAGCCATTTTTAGCCCAGCTGAGCCTAGAAGTGGGAATAAGCATGAAAAGAAAGGGAGCATTGGGAAGGATGCACGGCATATTGGAAAGGAAAGAAAGCCACTGCAAGTCTTGTTCATGGCACAAATTGAATGATTCTTTGCTTCATAGCATTAGTCCTATCATAAGTATATATTTTTGTGTTCTTGGACATGCATATTTAATCATTATTCTTTTAACTGTTATGTAGAGACATTCTATACTTCAAAAGCCATATATATATTTTAAGGCAGTCACTTTAAATATGATCCAGTGTACTAAAATCTCTAGTTAGCTGTGACAGACAAGGGGAAAGATGCTGGTGCAGCACTTATATGAAGGTGTGACATTTGAAGCAGAATACATGTTACTGAAAGCAATACAGTGTGAATGGGCATCACAACATTCCAACGATTAGCAGCTGTCCAGTTGAATTACATCTGCTTGCACTAATCCAGCAAAGGTGATCTGCCCACAGATCTCCTCTGGGTCAGGATGCATATGTATTAATAGTTTAGCAACTGTATTTATTTAGGATTAGGGTTAATGTCACTCTTAAGTTAAATGACAAATAAATTGCCCCGATTTTTAAACACAATATATTAAGTGTGAACAAAAGCCCTGTATCATTTCATATTTGTCACCCATACGCGTAAAAAAAAAAAAGTTAATTACATTTCTTGATATTTTGAAAATGTAGAACATAGCGCAACTAGTTATGTTCTTTAGTATTAAAGGTAGTTTTCATCATTAACATGTAGTGCTTCAAAAAATATCAGAAAAGGCCCGTGGTCTTGCAGAGCTGGAGGCTTTGCAGTGGCGCTGGTTATGATGTAGTGTTACAGTGACATCCAATGGCCAGTTAGGAACAGCAGGAAACAGATTCACAACTAAATGGCCCTATGCTTTGAAAGGAAGGTGCATGTTAAAGAAAAAGATAGTGTATACTTTTGCTCTAATATTTAGCAGTAGCACATGAAGAGTCAGGTCATGACATACCATTGTCAAGTCTGTCTTCCTCAAATGCCTCCATGGGCTACAGTTCGATACTAAATCTGCTCCAGTCATACTGGTGCCAGTTTTTTGCTACCAGATTTGAAATGATTAACATCTGTTCTGTAGGACTTTTGATTGCACTGAAGTCCTGAACGGTATGTTGGATCTCCACAAAACATGCAACATTCCATTCTATTTGAAAACTTGACTGAGTGAACTAATTCAGCTTTTGAGTTTCTTTTAATGATGGAATGTTGATGTTTTGGGCAGACAGTAAGCTTGGATTTAAGTTCAGTCACTGAACCTATCTTGCATTTACCTTAGGATGGAGCAGATTTCCCTGTCTGCCTTTAGAGAGAGCGTTTCATGGGAGAAAGGGAGAGATCCATTTTCACACATCCTCTCTGTCAGAGATGAAAATGTCCACTGCCATTGCCATTCTGCTGCTTAGTGGTCCAGAGTAATGTCAAAAAGAGTGTCTGTGAATGATCAGGGAAATCTACAACCTCCTTGTTCTCATAACATGGCTCTGAAAGGGTCTAATGGGGCTTTTAATTGAGCAGCTTTCTGTGGAGCAAGCCTCAGCTCAGCTCAGCTCATGGGAAGAGCTGTTGGATGTTACAAATATCTCTGCAAAGGTGAAAGGTGGAGGGAGGGAGGGAGGGAGGGAGGGAGAGAGAGAGAGAGAGAGAGAGAGAGAGAGAGAGAGGTTTGAGGTAAGGCAGCATCACCTGAACTTAAGAAGGTGTTGAGGAAAGTGATGAATCCACAGTAGCCTGAATTCCTTCATCCTGCCCCACAAGATCTCTAAGCAGGACCTGTAAGCATATCGGCCCTGGATACCACATTTGATTCCCCCTTTGGTTTAAACCAACAAATCTGCTCTAACTCTCACAACCCCCCCCCGCCCCCATCTAGGTCACCTTGGGCCACTGTGTTCTAGACCTTGTTGCTCCCCTACACTTCTAAGTATGATTGCACTTTATTTTAGATAATTAGATCATTATATTACACCACTATAATTTTGCCGTTATTGTTGCTCATAATGATGCAGTGGAGGTCCCTAGCTCATAACTTAGCTTAGCCACCAATTCTTCTAAATGATTGAAGTACTGTAAACTATTACATATTAGATCATTTATTTCTACAGCATACCTTTGGTTCCACTCACTTTAGCTGCTTCTGAAAGTTTGTTTGTTTGTTTTTTCTTCCCCCCCCCCTGCAGTAATGGTGAATTATGTTCACATAAAAACTATTTCCCCTTTGAAAATCTGATTTGGCAGATTTCTAAGAAACAGGTACAAGAACATTTTATTTTAAGAAATATTGCTTCTAGACTTTCCTGAAGCCAGAATTGTTCTATAAAAGTATTGCAGAGTATATTTTACAAGAACATGGTCTGTAGCCTAATGTAACTTTATATACAAACAGCTTCATTCATGCCCATAAATAAGTTTGTTCTTTCAGCTCATGATACATACATGATAAACACCTAATTATTTCCAACAGGTTTACATAGTCCATCACCAGCTTTTCCTGAAAAAGTCTTTAAAAGATTTACAGGACCATGGAACACTCAATGGCTAATTTTTAAACTTAATTGTTCAAACAAATTATATGTTAACCTTATCTACATTTATATACATGGTATGTGCATTGCTGTAAGCCAGATCACTAATAAATAGCACTTTAAGATTATTCATTTTGCTGTATGTAATCGTTCCAATGTTGAGGTTTCAAAAAATCAGTGTCTGGCAAAGTCTAGCAATTAACTTTTGAAGGCATAGTGTTAAAATGAACAGTTGCACTCACATTTGCAAACTTTAAAATAGTTGTATCTTTTCACTCAGCTGTTTGGATCCAAAGCACTCTAATGCCCATTTATGTTTAAGTTTTAATATACACTTAAATGTTGAAAGATGTACTGAAGTGAATGGAGAAGCTTTTCTGCACATACATTCCATATGCACCTTGGAGAGCCCCTTCTAACAATGTGCCTTTATATTAAGATACATGGCTACCATCCAGCATTTGATAGAATTGCCCAGAGATAAGGCAGCATAGTTGCACATTCCCACTGCTGTAATAGAAACACCAAAAACAATTCGCTGCCTTTGCACTTCTGTGAGTATAGTAGCATGGGACACTGCATGTCACATATTTGTGTGGGCATATTTGTGCATGTACAGACACCTGTGGATTGGACTTCATATTTATGAAGACTAAAAATGATCTAAATAGTTTCAAATGCATCAAGGTTAGAGGAAAATCAAAATTTTCCTGCAAAAAGAATTAGAAAACAAAAAGCCTTCAGACTGTACCGTCAAACATTAAGTTCAAATTGATCTGACACCATTAAACGTTTAACTTGCACTGCCTTTTTGAGAAAAAAAACAAATCAATTTGAGCATAAAGGTATAAAATCAAACATGATTTTATGCTCAATATTCAGATAATTGGCTTTCACAATCCATGCTGCATATGCTTTCACTACCAACCTATTTTATTGTTTTGCAAATTACACACCATTAGCAAAGCTATGAACATGTAAAAATACCCGATTAAAAATAAAGGGTATGGCACAGAGATTATAAAAGTGCAATATAATTTACTCTGACAATATGACATTTTAGTGGTTAAAGTTGTTAATCAAAAATGCATTACTCAGAGAGCTTAGGGGGCAACAGAAACATTCATTTGTGGTGAGTCATAGGAATAGAGAAAAACAAATGACTCAAGCCTTATTTAAAGATGACTTTCTAATGCTCAGAAAGATGGTATCATTGAGAACTCTAGTCTCACACTACTCTATGAGGAGAGCTCATATGTATGTGTATGTGGAATACACAGGGCAGGGTTCATTATATTACCAAAGAACTGTAATAACAATAAAACTTGGAATGTCGGTTGTCAAGGCTACTTCTGTTTCTGATCTAATTAAGGAAGGAATCATGAATGCAGCTTGTTTGCTTGGCTAATTTGAGAAAAGTGGAGATAAGGCACTGCCTTCTGCACTTAAATGCTGTGAAGTTTCTGTAAAGTGTTCCCTTTTTGTTGACACACTCTCAGCATTATGCTCTGCAACTAATGTGTTTAAAGCTTGATGGGTTACTTTTCTAGCTGAGTTCATGGGAAGGTAGACCTGTTCTTCAAAAATATCTTCCACAGAGTCATTGTCTTGAACAGAATCTTTCTGAAGAATGCTAACAGGCTGTAAGATGAAGCCATGTTTGGACTCCAGCTCTGTCAAATCATTCCCATTGATATCTATTTCAAAACTAACTGGTTCTTGAGTCTCCAGCCATGGTTTGGCTTGATGACTATTCCAGTGTGGTGAATGTGGACTCCTTTTAGCAGGAATATCATTGCTTAATTCAAGCTTGTTCTCTTTGCTTAATGTAACTGTGCTCAAAGCCAAACCTCCAAAGTCTGTTGGCATTATAGGCTGTGCCTCTTGGGCTGTCAACCAACTTGAACCTTCGTCTGATTCAGCAGAGCTCATTTCCAGCAAGGTAAATGGTGCAGATGATTCAACCAAGTACCCACTGGAATGAACAATCTGAGTCTTTGCGCTTCCATTTTGCTCAGAGTAACTGTTCAGCAGTGCAAAGATTCTATCTACATCCTTCAAGTAATTTGTCCAGTCCTCAGGACTAAGTTGGTAGTCATTTCTGGCTTCATATAAACTTTCATTCACACTGTACAAATCTTCCAGTCCTCTCCAGTTGACATTTTCCATGAAATTTGGCAGCTTAGCCTTCCCATCCATGCCATAACTGTCCTCTGTCAAAAGAGTTAAAAGAAAAGGTAGATAACAGCCTAAGGGTCAGTACAAGCCATATTTGGTATTGCCACCCTGTCTCAGTTTAGTGCTTGCAAATGGATAGGATTTCTTACACATTTTCATAACCTTAAGTCTTTGCTTTGCTATGGAAAAGGAAAAAGACCACATATTTTTCTTTCAGAGGACAGTATAAGGAGATACACAATGAAACAGACCACATATAAAATTCAACTTATAGATGAAAAAGGCACACATTTGAAAATTTCAGCCAAGAGTTACTTCAATCCAATTGGCAATAAAAATAATATACAAAAGCAGTACATGATGACATCAATATGTATGTGTGTGGGAGCAATGAACCTTGTTTTCCACCTGTAATAATACAATGAAGTTAAGTACTCATCATGATACTATGGTTGTAGTAAGGCTATTAATCACCCACTAACATTCATCTTTGTTAGCTAAGTGTGTGTGTGTGTGTGTGTGTGTGTGTGTGTGTGTAAGATGAAAAATTGAAAAGCAAAAAAAAAGTCTATCCAGAAGAAGGCATATTGTGCTGGTTGGAACACTGAACAAGAGTACTTCACCTTTTTGATACAGTTTCCATTTTTGCCAAGACTTTTCAGGCCAACGCATAGAATAGGTACACCAGTGACTATTAGCCAAAATGGGTGAATGGAATACCCCATTCTTAGTGACAGTGTACTGCCTTAGTGTCAGTTGCTGCAGGGAGGAAAAAGGGAGGCTTGCTTCCCAGAGCCATCTGGTTTGCCACTTTGGGAAACAGAACATGTGACTCAACAGACCTTGGGTTTGACCCAGCAGAGCCCTTACACTCTAAAAGTCATCAGGCAAGGAAAGATTGAAAAGTTCCAGCCCAGTATTGAGCAGAAAGACAGGCATGGCTGAAGTTAACTTCCATCTATAGAGGAGAAACAAACCTACAATACTTTTTAGTTGTGCTGCAAGCATGTGGTACACAACATTACCAGCAAATGAGCATCTGTCGTCATTTTGCATAATGGCTAAAGACTGATCTTTCCATGATATAGGATACATATCTGTCAGAGTTGGGTAGGAGCCAACTCAGAAGAGATCCAGCAAAGATGACTATGAAAGAGGACCTGATATTAGAGAAAACATAAAATACCACCCAAGCATATGAGGTATACAAGGCACAGCTTAAAAAAAAAAAGGAAAATATCACAGTCCTTTTTGGAAGACTCTAGAAACATGAATAAGAAGTCAGTCACTTGGGCTACAGCATAAAAGCCTTCTGGGATCTTTCTGATCCAGAGGAGAATCTTAAGAATTGAGGAAGACAAGACACAGCAGAAGTCTTTTTCTTAAAATATACTACTAGGTGGCACTTGGAGTGAGAGGTGGCCTGAAAATGGTCAAGAGCTAAGCTCTCCAGGTATCTAGTTTAAAGAGGACAACCCTACAGTTGTGCAGAGCTGGCAGAAGGCAGTCCTCCATCTAAAGCTGAGGAACCCAGGAGCCCCAAAGTTGCCCATCAACAGTGCACATCTGGACAGCAGACTGAGAAGGTACATAGCTCACTACAGTGGGATGCATTTTATTTTACTTAGTTATTTCTGAATTTACACATAAATTTTCAAAGTCAAACATCATCCAAACTGGTGTCTTTTGTCCCCCTTTTCATGACACATTTTCTCTTGTTGGGCAATGCATAAGTGGTCACTTTCAGGGATTCCCTTATTATCCTTCAGCTTCCAGCACTTGGCCTTGGGTGTTAGCAATGCCCTCCCTCAGCCTCTTTATCATCTTTATTAATGATCCTCTTACTCTTTGCTCTGAGTGACAATACCAATACATTAAAGGAAATCGAATGCTCTTGTTCAATTGGATTTGCAACTTTGGGTCCAAATCAGCTTTACTGATTGGACTCATAACTTGTACATAAGGTCTAACTTCTTGCTGATGTCCTGCAACCATCTGCTATGGTTACTCTTCTCTGAAGATGCACTCAGGTAGATATTGTCCCATAGGTCTCCCATCTAGGCACTGATCAGGTCCATATCTACTTTATGTATAAAATCTATATCTAAGGATGCTGTCTTTTCATATGCAGGAAATGCATAATGCATTTGTATAACATGTGAAATATCCTTATGTGTCCAAATTTTCAGGTTCAGGTACATGTCTTACAATCTTATATAGTCACAGTTTTTCAGAACACAAGCTCCTATGAGAGTTAAAGTCAACAATTATTCAGTGGGTTGTATAACATATGACATGCAGAGCTAATGTATATTTAATTGCTGTATCACTTGGATTTGTTGCTGTCGAGTATGGCAGCAAGATGGTTTTCTGTGAGCAAGATACTGGAAAGGATATGCAAGAAGAACCAACAAAAATAGGCTTCCATCTTTGTAAGCAAGGAAGATTTGAATGAAGTAGACAATGATATAGATCAAGTGAAATGACAAGAAAACGGTACATGGCCCCCTCTCCTGCATGAGCTAAATGTGCAGAAAGGGACCAGGGATGCACTTCTGGCCTCACCCAGTGTCCTTCATTGTTAATGTGAATGCACCTACACACACTTAAAAAAAGAGAGAGACAGCGCACACAAGAGCGCTGTACATGTTGTAAGGTTCCTCGCTCCAGGATTTCTACCTGCATTGAAGGGCCTTGTGCTGAGGCATGTGGTGACAGCATGTAAAAGTTTTAAATAAATAAATAAAAAATAAAATAAAATCTACAGTGTGCACGTATAGATTCCTCTGGCAGGACAAAGCTCTTGTCATATGAAACAATGTATCTGAGGACTATGCTGTATGTATCCCTCTCCCCAAAACAGGGATGATGAGTGGATTTCCTAAAGCAAGATTAAGGTAAAATGAGCTGCATGAAATCGGCGTGAGCATGGCTAAATGTGAAGTGACAAATGTAAACACCCATGGCCAGATGAAGACATTGTTAGCGCTTGCATGCAGCAAAAGCTATGCAATGTGCAACAGGCAGGATACAGACATTAGTCAAAATGGACTGGGTCATGCAATTATTTGGAAAGAAGCTGCTGAGAAGAATAATAAAGTGTGGATACCTGTGTGGATCATAGCTTCCTCCATCTTTATTTCCTGATATAGGAAAATACAAGAGTAACTTTTGTTAGTGTTTAGATTTGGTAAAATCATTCACAATGTAGCTTTCCATGCACAGCATCTAATTCCTAGAAAGAAATTTATTGTGTTATAATTAGGTAAAGCAGCAGTCCAAAAAGGTACCTGGTAAAGAGTGTTCTAACATAATTCTAAAACAGATTTTTAAAAGTGGAAAGTTATAAGAAAAAGGAAGCATTTATTGATAAAATAAACAAAAACTCTGCAAACTTGAGAGGTGAATTTCCTGGGAACAAAATCCATAATTTCTAATCATGCAATATGCCTCAGAGAATACAGAGCCTTTTTCAAAGAGGAAAGGGGAAGCAAGATGGGACCCAGCTCTGCATTTTTCCAGTGGGGCTTGATAACCTTTCACAAACCTTGAATCACAGCAAACTGTATTTGTCCTATTGGCAAAGCAGGCCCATCTTGCTCAAATACAATTAAAAAGAAGATAATGGTCTCAAGCCATTGCCCAGCCTCAATGGATAACATGGTAATCAGAGAGCTGTAAAGTCATGTTACATTATTATTTTGAATATCAGTTAAAATGCACAAAATGAATAGTACACACAAAGTTAAGAGCCCAAACTAATCTAAAAGAAAGGCTTTGTTTCTAAAGCAAAAAGAAGATTCTGAGCTCAAGCCTGCATGGAAATCATGTGACATTTTGAATGTGTTTACAGAGGACAAATGGAGTTTTTCATTTGTAGGTGTCAGAACTCTGCATTGATCAAAGCAATGTTTTCTTCACATGTCCCAGTTGGCCCTTGAAACTGGGGAGAAAGTGAGGTTATGCATTATTAACAGCTTAACAAAATGTGTGTGTGTGTGTGTGTGTGTGTGTGTAGCAGGGATACTGGATACAGTAAATAAACTAGGGTTGCTTTTGTACATATTATGCAATCTTGATATCATGTATTAATGCGCAATATGAATTCATATACAATGAAGCATTGTATATTGTTTGGCTACAAAATATATGAATACCCTGACTAAAAATATTTCCAGATGCCACATTCAGATTATGCTTAAAAGCATTATTTCTCAAGAAGTTTCACAGGTGATTCAGTTACTCTTTGGAGTGATTCAGTGTAAAAAAATAATGTTCAGAGTTTTATAATGGTCAGTTGTTACCTGTTTCAAGTCCCTTAGGTCTTGGATTGCATTGCTTATAACCTTGACAACTTCGCAGCTCCATTAGTTGAGCATGTAGCTGGTTCAAAATACCTCTTTCCACTGTGTGCACTGTATTTGACAACTGGGCACAAAAGCAGGGAAGAGAAAGAAAAGCATTTTGTAAGTGTCTGCAAGGGCAAAGGGTGCAGTCCATGATCCATCAGTGTCTCTACACTTGTACTTCAGCCAAGCTGCTGCTGCTGCTTATATTTATTAATTTAAATTATTTAAGACTTTTTTATACCGTCCACCACTGAAATCTTGGGATGGTATATAAACCTTTCAGTTCTATTTTGAGCTTCCAAACAGACATACACACATGCATTTATTTAAATTCTATTACTGCCCCAAAGCCAATGCTCTCTGCCTTTTCTGGCTGGAAAGAAGGGCTGCAGTTTGTCTAGAGTAAGTGATACATCCTGTGCACATCATGTGCTCTATGGAAAAAGGTTGGCTAAGCAGTGCTCCTTTGTCTTGGTTCCAGAGCTATGCTTCGAGAACCCATGACACAACAGCCTTACTGAACCAGTGGAGGTGTGGTTTTTGGTCAGTCTCTGACTGTGACACTGCCTGGGAACCAGGGGCACTCCCCTGAGTACTGGTGCAGAAGTAAAGTAGGATGCAATGAAATCATCAATAAACAAGTTCAGCTGCTGTACTTGTAATGACAGGAACATTTAAAATGAATCAACCAACTTGCAAAGAGTGTTCTATTTCCAAATAATTTTTCATATTATGCATGAACTTTTTAGGTGGAAGATGGTGAGACCTTTTGTCAAACTTTGAATGCTTTCCAAAAAGGAAGCTAGCCTGGTGCTGACATATTTATTTCCAAGTTTTAAAAAGCACTGCTGTATTATTAGTGGTTAAGCTATTATTTCAGTCCAGAAAAGGACAACATCTTTGACTCCTAATCCACATTTTATGCTGGCTTTTGGGCCTAGGTCATCATGCATATTTGTTTGTGTACATATATGTGCATACATGCACACATGGCAGCGATTCCGGTGCAAATACGTCTTTTCTTGCTGCTAGCAGCAGTGAGAAAAGAGTGGTGAGGATGAGGACCTTCCCAGCCATTCCTAACTCTTCATTCCTTCACCAGAGATCCATAAACACTATCTCCTTGCAGGGAAAAGCAGAGATCACTATCCAGAGATCACCATCTCCTTGCAGGGAAAAGCAATTGATGTCACTGGTAGGAATATTATAATTGGTGTAAAAGTATGTGCATGGAGGAGAGGTAGGCTCAGGGGTCAGGACATATGGGACATGGGGGCCTTCTGTTCACCCCTGTTTTAGTCTCTGAAGTATGATTTTAATTCTCATACCTGATGGTAATTTTATATTTTATGCTGTTAGTAGATTTATTAGTTTATGTTAGCATGTTCATTGTTTTATACAGATTTAATTTGTATCTGTTTTGATGCCATTATTGTGTTTGCAGTGATATCATGCCTAGCAAAATATATTTCATGGGGTATTTAATCAACACAATGAATATATAAAATTCAGAAATTTACCTGATAGGGGTCGATGTTCATATCGAAATACTCCAGGAATCCTGTAGCAAACTCACAGAAGAGGAAGTTGTGTGTTTCATTTACTGTTCGCAAGCACCAGTAAGTGTTGTTATTTGAGCTGGTACAAGCACAAAACGAACCCACTGTTGGGAAGGGAGAGGGGTGGAAACAATTTTAATGGGACCAGGTGTTCACATCAATCCAGCCAAAGTAATCCATGCATGCAGTGTCCTATGAAATAAAGTAAAATATATTTTCACTTTAGCGAAAATATATTTGCATACAACACCTAGACTAGTTGGATGCAGAGTGCTGCATCCCATCCTTTCAGTGTTAGGGAAACTCACTGATGCGAACATGACTATCTAGAAGGCTTTTCTTTGTTGGTAGTCCTCTGACACTATTATTTTAAGTGCAATGCTGAGCAGAGAGTGCACATGACTAGGCTATACCACTCTGTACAGCTATGTGGGAAGCAAACTCTCTGTCCAGGCAGCCTTTCACCCCACTCAGCGCTTACATTTATCAGTGCTAATCATCTGCCTTTCAGTGTAAGGCAAATCCCTACACTGCTACCTGTAATTTTTTTGCTGCCTGATGGAACATTATTCTTGTGAAACAGTTTTCACAATTATTTTTCAGAAAAATGGTGCTATGACTCTAGAAATGCAAACTTTGATGCCTATTTGTTTTCCCAGAGAGAAGTCAAAATATTATCATTCAAATGTAACTCCTTTTATTCAAATATATCCGTACAGTCTACGGACACAATCCTGTCTTTGTTAGGGTTCTTTTGTTTGTTTTTTGGAGTACCAACTGATTTGAATGGGTACTGTAATCCTTCTGAGTCTATTTCCAACTCAGACTGAGGAATTTGAACTAACCTATGGCACTTCAGGCATAGCCATAGGATTGCTCTTAAATCTCTGTTAAAAATTGGGTTTCATTTTATGGGATTAAAAGTTAGCAAACATTTGTTTGAAATTAATAATACTAATATTGTAACTAAAAACATGTTTTGAATGCAAATCTGTTTTTGAAAGTAAACAAGGTTTTCTCTGTACTGTAGCAGAGCACAAGGCAATTTGTAACAGATTCACTATATTCTTCTTCTCTAACTGTGGCCCAAAACAAATGGGCCTAATGTCCTCCAGCCCTAGAAGAGCTCCCATCAACTCTTATTTCCATAAGCATGCATCTGTTAAAAGTGGTTCTCACAGTCCCAGAATGGCGCAGTCTGCCAGTGATTGTTATCATGGGTAAAGCAAGTAAGTCCAGGAAGGCTACACTCGTCTCCTTTCTTCTGACGCCTTTTCCCTTTCCTTTCTTTCTTTCTTCTCCGGTTCTCTTTGAAGAGTTGAAGCTTACCATCCACTTCTTGGGCTGCTTCCCTAGTCAAGTTCAAGAACAGTTAATAAACATGGGCATAATCCTAATGGTTTTTATCTACTAGAGCAGTGGTGGCGAACCTATGACACATATGCCACTGCATGCACACAGAGCCCTCTATATTGGGACGCAAGCCAAGTCACCTCAGCATACGTGTAGGGTTAGGGTTAGAAAAATGAGTTGTCCTAGTATGGTTTTGATGGTTGGAATGTGTTTATAATAGGCAGAAATGATGAGCTGTGCAGGAAAAGCTACTCAAGGAAGGCTTTTTCAAAATTGCCCTCTTTAGCCCTGTATTCGGGTTGGGGGTGTGCACCAGGGTAGGGTTAGAGCAGTGGCATGCTCCCTCCGTCAGCACATGCGCCAAGTCACCACAGCATCACCCCAGCTGCTGAACTTCAAATAACGGTGCGCACAGGGGCCGTATGCATGCTCGGAAAGGAGTAGTGGCACCAGGCAATGACGTCACAAGCCTTGACTCATTGGCCACAACTCATCTGAGCTTTCACACGGCCGGTCAGTGCACTGCCGAGGATGTCTATATTTGCTTGGACTGGCTGTAAGTTGTTTTTCCTAAACTAAAACCTCAGTTTTCAAGTTTTATTGTAGTGTTGGCACTTTGCAATAAATAAGTGGGTTTTGGGTTGCAGTTTGGGCACTTGGTCTCTAAAAGGTTCTCCATCACTGTATTAGAGCCTTCCCCAACCTGGGTTCTCTCATTACTGCCTTAAAACTCGCATCATCTCTAACCATCTTTTACTTCAACCTATTTAGCCATGGTAAAATAGTTCCCCTGAACAGCTTTTCTGTGATACACTAGGCTAGTCATTAGCAGGTGGAAAGGAGGTTTGGATGATCCTGCTGGATTCATACAACCACTTACAACAAAAATTGTGTTTGTTCTTGTTAGTATACTATGAGTATATATTTATCTTAACTATTGTCTTAGAGCTGATTACAATTTCTCTCAGGAAAGGTGTGATGGAAAAACTTTTATAAGGTTTAGGACACGTTAACTAGGCCACTAGGATAAGAAGTACATCAACAGACCGAATTTCAACAAAATAATTATGTCTTTAAAAATAAATTCCATGCAGATAATGGGAGCCTTTGCAGGTAACTTCCATCAGCCTGTGCCACCAGACATATCTTCAGGCTGCTTGTGTAGCCCACTAGATATCTGCTGGACTGCTGACATGTTGAAATGAGGGAGAAAGACAGAAAAAGGGACGTACTTGAATGGATGAAGGTGACTTGTCTTAAGCTTTTCTTGAGTCTTTACCCCCTTTTCTTTATTATAATAACTGTAAGGAAATGATACAACAAATTAAAACTTCTCATTTAAAAGAGAAATGTGGCTGTCATTTTCAATTTTTAGTTTAACATAATTTAATCAGATTTTATTCATCTTCAGTCATATCTTGCTATTGTATTTACTGCATATTTATCATACTGTAAACCATCCAGAGATGATTCGTATAGGACAGGATTAAAATATCGTAATAAATAAATAAATCTGCAAAACCAGATCTATGGATATGGCAGATTGGGAGTACTTGTCCATGTGCCCATAGACACTGGTTTTCCAACTGAAATTACACAGAAGGGAAAAATAATTTTCCTTACCTCTTTTTGCTACAGTCACATTCATCAGGTTTTCGTCTTTTCAGATGTCCTCTCACTTCCCTTAAATTTTTAATTTTATCTTGGAGAGCTTCAATCTACAAAGCAGGTTTCAAGTTTAATAAGAAAATCCTATACTTAATTATTCAATTAGTATGATTGAACATATTAAAGTCTAACTCTTTTAAAAGCATTCTTCATACTGGAATACAATTTTGTCACCACAATAAGATGTCCAGTTATAATCACTTCAAATCCAGTGATCTGACACCAAGAAATATTTTTTTATCCAAAGCCACCCTGTTCAGGGCTATGTTCAGGGCTATGAACATGGGCCTCTTCCTTTCCTCCTCCAATGCAGCCATGCAACAGTGTAGGCTTTGTGATCTTTCTAGGTTTTGGCTAGTAGATATTTTTCTCCCTTGCTGTGAATAGGGGTTCTTGTCATGTGCAAACTCAAAATTGTGGTTTGATTTAACTATAGTTTAATGAAACAAGCCAGGGTCAGAAACTATAGTCTGCAGTTGTCTTCTTTTCCCAAACCACAATTAGGACTAAGCCCAGTTTGTTTAGGTTAGCATGGGTTAGTCCAGGTTATCACATAGTTGAAAATGGCAGCAAATGTGGATTGGAAACAGTTGCAGAAACAACAGAAAGGAGAAGTGGAGGTCACTTACAAGCCCAAGGCTCCTTCAGGTAACTTAATCAGTAAACAGGGATCTGAATCGAGAACTTTTATGCTCTGCTGTGAGCTTTTACAAATCAATATATTTTTCTGGATTATTCTGCAGCAAGATACCAGTACAAATTCTGAATTGAGGAAAAGGTATCCTAACCTCTTTGTCAATATAGGCTTTGTGATCTTTCCAAGCTCTGGCTGATTGATATAGTTCTCTCTCACAGTGAATAGAGTCATTTGGAAGAATGAAACACCTATAAGAATGAAAATGAGTAGAAGAAAATAAGAATGATATATTTACTTTAACCTGGAAAATTGCAGCCAGAATCCTATGAATCAATAGAACAGTGAAAAAGCAAAAAGGGAGCCTTATGGCTGTAGTGGAGGTGGGGTGGGGGCAGGGTACAAAGCTATAAATAAATAAATAAATAAATAAATAAATAAATAAATAAAATCACCACAGAGCAGGTAACCGAGATAAGTGCCCTCTCTAAAAACCCTTCCTACAAGAAAAACCATGCCCATACCAAAAATAAAAGTCTATGACTGAGTTTGCACAGCACAATAACCTGTCATGAGTAACAAACCACTTCTCCCATTGTTGCAGACTGTGCAAAGACCTTCTTCAAATTCCCACATTGGGCAGCAGGGTGAAAGGAGGGCTGCTCTGCATATTCCCCTAAACAAAAGTAGAAGCCTCCACACAATCAAAGCCTTCGTTTTATCAGGGTGCATGACTGTATTCATGTTAACACAGGCAGAATCTTTTTCATAGGAAAAAGTGCAGGAAATTTGACAAGAAGGGAGCATGCTTGATGTTTTCTGTTCAGGCACAATGTCTGAACAGGGATTCTGTCTGGTTCCAAGCACCAGCCCAAAATATACCTGATGGCACTTTTGGTGGAACCCCTGGGCCTGCATGACCAGCTGGGAAAAAGAAACAGGCTTAAGGACCCACACGTTGTTTCACTCAAATGGTTCCTGTACCTGCCTTGCCTGCTTTCTTTGTGGTCTTTCCTCAATAAATGTTGATTGCCATCTGTTCATGGCAGTGGCCTGAATTAGTGATCTATGCAGTAATAGAGCACAGTGTACACACTGTGTATTAATAAGAATAAGAATAATAGCAGCAGCAAAAGCATTCTTACTTATGAGTCACTCGGACAGAGTCTGGCTGGCCCACTGTATTGGTTCCATCAGCTAGCATTGCTTCGGCACCACCAGCCCCATCTTCTTCCCCATCTTCTTCCTCACTGTAACGTCCATGTCGCTTTACAATGCTCTTGGGCTGAAGACTATGTAGCTCCTGCTGCTGTTCCTGCTCCTCCTCCAAGTTTATATCATATATTTCCCCTTCAAATTCCACAGACAGGGAACGAGTCTGACGAGTGTGGACAAACCGGGGTTTGTATTCTGTATTATTAGAAGAAAACAGATACATTATTACATAACTACAAACACTGCATGGTTTCAAAGGATGACAAGGAGGTTGAACCTCAGGCTGATATGAGGTGAAAGGTGGTGTTGGATTCATGTTCAATTCATATACATCTGCTTACTTTGAACAGTAGCTGCATTCATAATTACCCTGTCCCTGTACTGATAATTTCATTCTTTTTTATTCTGTCTATCCATACATCCACCCACCCACTGATCTATTGACCTGTCTGTTGGTTTGTCTACCTACCTACCAATCCAATAAAAGTCTACCCTACCTTTCAAGACAAAACCTCTCATAAAGGTTGTTTGCAAAATTGCCCTGGATCCTTAAAAGAGAACTCAAACAAGAAAAGGTGATGCTGAGGCCTACTCTTTGTTGGCAGCAGAATGAGATGGTAAATTCCGGCAGTTGTAGAATGGATTTTTATAATTTATGTTTGCTGCACTATATAAAAGGAATCAGCATCCTGCTGTGTACTTACAGACAACTGCTAGTGTGTTTGTGTATTTGCTTAGGAAGTTTTTTACTTGAAATGCAGTTGTTGGAGATGGAAGGCTTGTTTCTTTCCTCCCCAGGCAAATACTCTTTCAGCACCCGGTAGTTAAGACATTATAGGGAAAAAGTTTCAATTCACTCATTATTAAAGAAACTAGCAAAAGTAAAAAAGGGAGGTATAGGTACTCACTGTATATAAAGTTTAACATGAAGATTAACCTTTAGACTTGGACCACTGTGAGTTTCTCGAAGGAGAAATGAGATTGCTAGCTGTGGAGAGGATATAGAGATGCCCCACTATCTTTGTCAGTGTGCTATTCCACAAAATGCATTATATTTTTCAGAAGTATTCATGTTGGGACCACTGTTAAGTGAAAATCAGACCTGTGATATTCTGTTAAGCAATGAAGATTTTATTTTACCACTTTTCTGTTGCTCCTGGAATTTTTCTATCAAGTGCAAATCTGTTGTAAAATTGTGCTCTCCACTTGGTAGGAAGATGTCTCAAGCTGTCCCATTCACATTTTAGTAAGCTGACACTTGGTAAATAATACTCTGTCTTTATTCTATCTCTTTAGTAAAAGAAGTACACATTACATTTAACTGAGTAAGTGGTTCACATCAGAGCCCACTTGAGGGCACTGCAGAAGCATGCTTTGAAAAATAGCTAGATAGAAATTTCACTCTGGCAGAGATGTGGTTGTGTTAAAGTGCAACAGGGACAAAGAATTTTCTGCATTTGGCTGAATGACTGAAACTCTATGTAGGGCAGGGGTCTCAAACTCACAGCCCAAGGGCCAATTGCCGGGACGGGTGGGGCACGGGGGAGGGGCCCTGCGGCCTTCAAAGTGCCCGGGCCGGCCTCCGGGAGCGACGCGGGATGAGCGGCCCGCCTCCACCGCGGTGGTGGAATACTTGATGCGGCCCAGCCTCACCCAGACTCTACCTCCAGCGGCCCCCAGGTCAGTTGAGTTTGAGACCCCTGATGTAGGGTGTGTTGTTGGGGTGAATGGACTGGATATCACTGTCATGTTGATAGAAATGGCTATTCTGTAAGTTTTATACCCAGCAAAAAACAATCTATGTAAGAACTTGTCCATATAAATACGGGCTCTTTAATTCATTAGAAATTATTTAAAGGAAGTATTACAGAGGCAGTAATTAAATATATACATTTAGATGAGAAATATGAATAGAACATACAACTTTTAACAAATCCACTCATCTTTAAAAAGTGGTGAAAGCACACTTTTGTGTCATACGCTCTTCTTTAGATGTAGACATTCAAAGATTCCATTAGCCTGGCTCAAACTGGTGTTGTTCAAAGCTTAAGCAACCTCTAAAAGTGCACCATTCAGTTTACTGAGCACAGAAAGCAGCTTACTGCATAGCAGCAATTGTACTGCATCGTGAATGCCCCCTTCTGTCAGATTTAGAAGCAGATGTAGAAAGAGGACATGATTTGGGGCAGGGGTGGATGTGGATGGAACTCTGCTTTTTCATGTTCATTCACGCAGCTACACATGCCTGGTTGTAGATTGAAAGTGGACTAGGAATCCCTCATTCCATGCGGAAGGTGGGCTGTCAGCAGTGTTTTGTTTTTGCACCTGCTTGGTTGTCCAATCGAAAGTTGGGTGCCCTATTACTCTCTTTTTAAAAGTCACACTTGAAAATCTGCTCTGAAGAGGCAGGTGGTTTCAATACCTGACCAAAGAATCATCCAGCCATCAGTGCAGCAAACAGGAAAAGCAACAACACATTCTAGGGAGAAAGCGGCACCACTCTCAGAAGCATGGTGAGTGAACTTCTACAGCAGACTGATTGCTAACTTAACCTACAGCATGGGAGAAACCCCCGTGTTTTCTCACAAACCCTCATCAGGGAGAGAGCTTGATTACAAATTTTGCATGGAATATCCACAGCATATTAGCATTCTAGACTCTGCAATAAATGCAAATATTCCATATCAATAAGATTCCTGAGCCTGTAACTGCTCACAGAAGCGGAGGCAATCTAGTGAATCTTCTATGTTAGAAAATATTTGAGATGTATCCAATAAGATCACTTCTCTCTGGCCCTTCCCATAGACTGTAACATCCCTATTACACTTACCAATTTCCCATGAGGCTCTGATTGGCTAATTTTGCCATTTCTCCATTAAGCCGTTAGGCCATATTGATCTGGTTTGTGCAACACATGAGTAAGTAGGTACATAGGGTTGCTCCCCAAAGGAGTGACTGCTGATGCTGCTGTTTTTACACAAGCCTCCCTGGGAATTCATCAACTGTTACAGTGATCAATCCCACCATTGGTAAAGGGAAGTGTTATGCAAAGCATTAATCAAAAGCAGCCAAAAAAGAGAGAGAAAAAGAGGAAAAAAAGAGAGAGCAAGAGAGCAAGAGAGAGAACGAGAGACCCCCCCCCCCCACACACACACACTTCTCTGCTCCCTTTGACAGCTGAAACAAATAAGGAAATTGACCAGGCAATACTACACATATTGGATAGATGTAAGTGTGCAATTGCAAAGGACTGACAATAAATGATGAAAGAAATTTTTCTGGGGCCAAAAATCCCTCCAACCCCAATTGTACTTTTTCGAGGCTCCAGAAAAAAACAAACAACCAAAAAGTGGCAAACAAAGGTGGGTAGCTTTCAGAGCAGGGAGTGGGAGACAAGATGGATTCTACCATGTGCCAGAGCCAGCTGGAGGATTGAGGACATAGGAGAGGGAGAATAATGCATGGTAAGCCCAATCATCTATTGGGTGTAGCACAGCTGTTTAGTGACTAACCAACCCACTGGGGCTTATTTGCAGGATGGCTTACTATGAGAAGGTAACTTGACATAATGGGTGGGTTCACACAATTCTGCCACTGGTGAAAGAGATTTGTGACTTATAAGTGTGGCTTGATTCATTTACTAGATCAAGTAATCACACAATCGTTTCTAGGGTTGGGGTGTATGTGTGTTTTAGAAGGCACAAGGATTTTGCTAAATTTTCCTCTCCACATTGTGGAAGACAGTTATCTAATCTTGCAATAAACCAAGGCACCTTGCTTTCTAAAAGCCTTGTGTCTACAGTTACCTACTTTGTACACTGGGGTTTCTCATAAAGCCTCTTTGATTTTTTCTTTGCGTCCGACCACTCCGGAAATCAGCCTCTCCACAGTCACAGTCATTTTCTTTGCTGCTGTATCCCCGGGAATGTATGCTCCGCGTTTTCTTTCTGATAGCAAGAATGGCACTAGAACCTTTACATTTGTGAATGCGCAGTTTGCCAGATGGGTCTTCGATGCACTGCCACTTCTGCAAGAAGAAAATGAACAGGCTGCTCAGATTCATCTCTAAGCTATCTAGCCCAGCCTTCTTCAGTCTGGTACTCTGGCCACTGGCCATGCTAGCTGGGGATGACAGGCCTGTAGTCCAACATAACTGGATAGCAACAAGCTTAAGAAAGCCTAAGCAGCCCATTTTAACACCCAAACTGGAAAAAACAACAAGCAATGTCTTGCTAGAAACCATTATTTCCTTTTTGCATTCTTCTTAAACATTATCTTTCATCCTAAGTAAACTTGAATCTTAATGAAATGTGAATGAAGTAACTGCAAGGCTGTTCCATGTGGAGCACACTATGAAAGGACTTTGTGCCTCTATTCTGCCTTTGCCTCCCTATGTTTTGTTTGATTGTTTGTTAGTTTGTCTTGGTGATAAGGAAAAAATACAAGTAGTGGTGGGAAACATGAAAAGTTATAAGTGGAAGACAGTGTCATCAGACCCCAAATAAAATTCTATTAATGAAACAGGGCAATTGTACTTTGAAGCCTTTGGCTTCTTTGGAAGGATCCAAAGGATCCGAAGGATCCAAAGGATCCAAAGGATCCAAAGAAAAAGTCTCTTTCTCTGTGCACATATACAGTAAAATAGATATAAATGTTAAGCAGATGGAAATATGTAGTTCACCAAACTTCAGAGTAGAACTCCCCAGGCTACGTTTATGTTATTTCCCTCTTTTCGAAATAAGATATTTCCTCTTGTTCATTGGATGGCATAGTCCTTAAGCAGTTCAAGAAGAAAAGTCACACAGGAAAGGAGGACGCAAATCAATGTTGCTCAGGAAGTCCGTAAAGGATGCACACTTAGGATGCTCGTCTTAGGCTTTTAAAATGTGGAAATCAGAAGGATTTCCTTTTAAACAGCTGATCTGCTGAAAATACTATAGTCTGAAGGTATATAATGCAGCAACTTTGCTGAAGCTATGAAAGTCCATTCAATGCCTGAATGGAAGACTTTCTCAAAACTTTATGTACACCACCCCATCATATACATTTAATGTGGAGGAAAGGCCAACAAGAATCAGTCAGGTTATTATTTTTCTAAACAAGGAAGAAAAGTCTTGAGATGTGTGTATTTATCAGGTTCAGTCACATACCCACCTTTTATTTCCTATCCTCTGTTTCACTCCTTAAGATAAAAAGCATCTCCAATGAATTGCCTCAACAGCTCATTTGTGACAAATTCACAGATTCACTTTTGGTCTCCATTTGTTTCCATATGACCACATAAAGGAATATCTCACTCTTAGATCTGGGGGGTACCCAGCATGACCAGATATCTGTTGTATATTTCTCTCTCTACTAGCTGTGTAGTATTTATTGCTTGAATACTTCCTACATTATATTGTTTGGATATTGCTACCTACCCTGGGATTTTTATTTAAAATGAAGGGCAGGATGGAAATAGAATCAAACAAACCAATATTACTCAGCAAAGTAATGTAGCTGCATGTAAGGAAGCACCTAGTATACTCTGCGAAGTAATGTCTGCATTACAAGTTGCTCCAAAAGCAGCTGAGATTCTTAATGGAACCATATAATTTTGTAAATTAGGGCACAGTTCAATGCATGTTTAGACAGAAAAAATCTTACAACTCCCAGGGTTCCTCAGCCAGCATTACTGACACATCTGGGCAGCCTGAGTGACAGTAATACAGGTGTGAGACTCTTAGATGAGCTGAGCTCGGGGACCATTGCACATCTCCTACTGTCCAGTGGGTTTGTACAAAGCATGCGTTTTAAACCATTAGGGATTTTTAAAAATCTGGCAGAGAATGGCACCAATAAAAATGAAAAGGGGAGGGAGGAGTGAGAAAGGTGCCAGAAGCCAGCACAAAGATTACTTTTTTCCCTATAGCAGTACAATATCAGATATTAAGGAGATCAGTTCTGCACAAGTACAAAGTGTCAAATGAACAGAGTGAAGGTTGATGTCCCTGTGATGGTTCGTGTTTCTGAAAATCAGTTTTATGCAAGATGGGCAAGCCCAGACTAGAACACAATATACTACAGCCAAGCAGCAGAGAAATACCAAGGCAGGTAGTCTGAAACCCATCAACATTAGAATTCCAGCAAGCCCTGATTACTAGTGCGGCATAATTACTGAGATGAGCTGTGAATTCATACACTCTTGCCTTAGCACAGAAACATAGAAACAGAGAGAGTCAGAAGGGGCCTCCCGGGCCATCTAGTCTGACCTCCAGCACCTCCAGCACCAGCCGGCTCTGCTCATGACATGCCCACCATGTGCACGTCCAGCCTATCCTTGAACACCCACACCGATGGGGCCTCAACAACCTCTCGTGGAAGCCCATTCCACACCCTCGGGGTCCTAACTGTCAGGAAATGCTTCATGGCATCCAAATGGAACCCTGAGCTTTGCTCCGTTGGAGCGCTTCCTGCCTTCCTCTGCAGGGGAGAACAGGTCTCTACCCATCTCCATGTGACATCCCCTCACATACCTGTATGTCGCCAACATATCCCCTCTGAGTCTCCTCTTCTCCAGGCTGAAGAGGCCCAGTTCCCTCAGTCTCGCCTCATACCCCATCCCCTGCAAACCGGCCACCAACTTTGTGGCCCTACGCTGCAATGACTCTAACCTGGCTATATCCTTTCTGTAATGAGGGGCCCAAAACTGAGCACAATACTCCAATTGTGGGTGCACCAGAGTCGTGCAGAGTGGTAGTAATACCCCTCTTGATCTAGAAGCCACACTTCTGGCTATGCAACCAAGGGTGGCGTTCGCCCTCTTGACCACCGCATCACACTGCTGACTCATGTTTAGCCTGCAGTCAACCAGTACCCCAAGGTCCCTTTCACAAGTGCTGCTCTCCAGCCACTTGTCACCTAACCTGTACATATGACAGCTATTCCTATGCCCCAAGTGCAAGACCTTGCACTTATCCACATTGAACGCCATCCTGTTGTCTCTTGCCCACTTCCATAGTCTGTCCAGATCCTTTTGGATCCGGAGTACCTGCTCCTCAGTTGTGGCCACTGCTCCAGTTTTAGTGTCGTCTGCAAATTTAATCAGCAGACTGTTCACCCCTTCTTCCATGTCGTTAATGAAAAGCTTAAACAGGATTGGCCCCAGGACAGAGCCCAGGGGGACCCCGCTTGTCACTGGCCGCCATCCTGAGGGATTCCTCGCTAATGGTTACCTTCTGCTTTCGGTCAGTCAACCATGCCCTAATCCACCGGACAGTGCTTTGGTGTATCCCAGAACTCCTCAGTTTCTCCACCAGGATATCATGGGGCACTTTGTCAAAGGCCTTGCTGAAATCCAGGTATACCACATCCACTGCATCCCCTCCATCTAGCCATCTCGAAACCTTGTCATAGAATTCCACAAGTTTTGTCTGGCAGGACCTGTTTTTGCGGAAGCTGTGTTGCGTGGCTGTCAGCCTCCCTTCCCTATCTAGCATCACTAGATCTCTCTCCATTATGAGCCTTTCCATTGTTTTTCCTACAATGGACGTAAGGTTAACCGGTCTATAATTCCCCATGTCCCTTCTACTACACATTTTGAAAATTGGGACCACTGATGCCACCCTCCAGTCCTCTGGAATTTCACCCGTTCTCCACGAGGTCTCAAAAATGGAGGCCAGCGGGCATGAGAGAACCCCTGCCAACTCTCTAAGTACTCTCGAGTGTAACCCATCAGGGTCTGGCACCTTTGTAATGTCCAATGCCCTAAGGAGCCCCTCGACTTCAAGGGGGGGTGACTCTAATCTGTGCCCCTATGTCCCCAGGCTCATCTAATCTCCTATGCGGATCTCCCCCATCCTGCTTTGGGGAGAACACAGAGGCAAAATAGACATTTAGCATCTGTGCCTGTTCCCTCATATCAGTCACTGGATCTCCTTCCTCCTTATTTAGTGGTCCCACCACTTGTCTCCCCTTCCTCTTCCTATTTACATGCTGAAAGAAGCCCTTTTTGTTGCTCTTGATATTCTTGGCAAGTCTCAGCTCATAATCAGCCTTATCCTTGCGAAGAATCCTTCTGCAACGGGCCTCCTCCTCCTGGTATACCCTTTTGTCTATTTGCCCCAGTACCCATTTCCTACAGAGGTTCCTCTTTCGTCTAATCCCTCTAACCACCTCCTTTCGCATCCATGGCAACACTCTCCTCTGCCTCCCCACCTTACTGACTAGAGGTATCATCAAGGCTTGTGCCTCCAAAACCTCCCTTTTGAGTGCTATCCACCCCTCCTCAACTCGCTTACCTTCAGTAACCTATCCCAGGAGACTTTCCCGAGTCTGGCCTTCAGTTGGCCAAAGTTGGCCCTCTTGAAGTCCCAGCACGTCCCCAGTCCCCTATTCTCAAAGCAAAGTATGGAGTGATCACTCGGATCCAGAGCTCCCCTAAGGCAACTGTTTATTCTTCAGCTATATATAATCAAAGGAATATTTCATTTGGCCTACTGTCACAATTTTAAGAGTACCAATTTCTGTTCTGCTCTCCCTCAATTTTTGCTTTTGTTTTTGTTCACATCCCTTCTGGGAATGGTTTTGTGACTCTTGAAAACTACCTTACCAGCTTGTGACTTCTCATTGGTCCTAGTGAATGGCAATATACTACCGCTGCTCTTTGACTTTAAAGCACTTAGCTGTAATTGGCAGAAACTGATTTTCAACAGAATACCAAAGTATATTTGGTACAAATAGAACATGAATGCACAAATGAGTAGAAGCCAAGTAATCCGTACATGGACTTGTTTAAAGGGGTGATCAGTGTCATACAGATCTAAGGCTACCTATTTTGTGTGTCTGAACTGCAAATGAACTTAAGAACAACAACTTCTATTGAAAATGCATAAAAAGAAAAACAAGTTTCCAGAGGCCCTTTGTTTATGTTTTAAATTCTTGTTTAGAACTAAGCAGCCCACTGAGAACATCTTTTAAGATTTTTAAAGCAGGGGTAGACAGACTTGCAAAATTTAGTTTGGTTTTGGTTTTGTTTTGTTTTACTTA